TTTCTGACAACAGTTGTTTCTATGTCTGTTTTGTCTTGGTGGGTTAAAACCCAGATAGTTAATACATTTTATTGTTGTTTGCATTTCTGTACCAATTTTCCCAGGTTTCTGTGAAATACAAAAACTTCATCTCTTTTTTCATTGTTACCTTCATGTCTGTCAAATTCAGTGTCTTTGTCGTGTTGATCTGGTTTGTAATTTATTTTTGATTGATTATTGATATTGATATTCTGTTAGTGGGGGATGTTTTAAAGAATCCTACTGTTATCAATTTTCTGTCTCTTTTTATGAGTGCTAACTTTTCCTTTATAAATTTAACTGCTACTCAGAACAAAAATATTCGAAACTGATATGCTTTTGTTGTTAGAGGCACCTTCAAACATAATATGATTTAGTTCTCTCTGTAAATGGTTTGAATTGAGCTTTGTCAGCTATTATTTCTACAGCTCCATATTTTTTCAAGCAAGCTATATCCTGGTAAACTTTAGTTCAACCTCTCGATTTATATCTACTTACATCTTTTGACATTAAATTATAATGATGGTGACAATCATGTCTCTTCCATGAAAAGCATTTTAAAAAATTAAAGGCTTACCCAACATGCTGCCCCTTTCTTGTCTCTTCCAGTTATTCCAAAGTGAATTGAGTTGGAAAAGAATTGTGGCTGTTTAGTTTCAGATCAACTTATAGCCACTGGGCACTTCCTGCTGTCACTCAGGTCATTCACTTTTTGTCACAGCCAACGCTGCCAAAATGGTTCTCTCTGTCTGCCTGACATGTCAAAAGAAGCTTTGAGCAGATTGCTGTGTTCGCTACAGAATATACTCAGCCTTCTCTCTGTCTCTCTCACAGACACACACACACACACACACACACACACACACACACACACACACACACACACACAGAGTTCAGGAGATATTCTTCCCTCTCCAATCTGCTGTTCACCTATCCTAAAATATAAACCTAGAACATCAGAAATACCTGCTGCTCCCCAATATAATATGAGATCCTTAAAGGTAGAGATGGAATGTAAAGTCAATTTTGACTGGAACTTCAAGGACTTTGAGAGGAGGAATAATATGAAACAACACAGGAAAGGTGAGTTGAGCTCAGATTGTACTGAGCCTTGAATATCAGAACTAAGAGTTCATATTTCATTATCTAAGCAATAGGGAGCCACTGATACTTAGTCTCCCAAAGTTATAAACAGGTAGGTACTAAATAGTGGGACACTGCATAGAACACTGAAATAAAAACGAATCTCCTTTCTGCTGTATTATGAATATCACAGGAACTGGGTCAGAGTGTGGCTTGATATGACCAAGGTTTTAGTGTGACTAGGGTTTTAGGACTGGTCTGGGGATGCTGTGGAGAGCAGAGCTAAAACCAGAGGACTAGTGATAGTTCTGAGGACTAAGAAGGAAGGTTGGAGGGTAAAAAGTATCCCAGGCAGCAGCCATCAGAATAGGAAAATTCCAGGCCTCACAGTTGAGTCAGGAGTATCTGGTCATCAGCCTCATATAGGGTATAGGTATTAAGTCAAAAATAATCCTATATAGTAAATTGAAACTTTGCTATGATACCACTTAAAATGCAAAAGTAAATAAAGGTAGTTTGTCTTAGGTTCTATTTAAAGGAGGTTAATTACTCAAGTACCAGAAGGACCTCACATTCCCATCACATGTATTCCAAGGCTAGAGCTGTGTAGCTGGGCTCTAGTGCATACCATAAGATAGTCTAAATCCAGTGGGATGTATGGTAGATGAATAGAATGTGGCTCAGCTTCTCCTGGAGACTTAATTTCCTTTTTGTGTTCAGCCTTGAGGGATAATTCAGAGGTGACTAACAATTCCAGGTATACAACTGAAGTGGAAACAGAGGGGGTGGGGGAAGAATAAGGAAGAAAATAATGGAACCAGTTGTTTCCCTAGTCTCTCGTAGGAGGCTTTGGGCCATGAGACAGAAAAGCTGGAAAGAAGTACCCTGCTCATGAATAACTTGGTTCTTTCATGTTCTGGGTCTTTATTATTTACAAAGTTGATTTAGAGCAGTTGATTGGAACTCATAGCTTTTTAAAAATTCCAGACAGCTGCATCTTAAAAAGGATGAAAACCTGACATTATTTAATGTTGTACAAATTAGAGAAAATAGTCATGTTCTAGATGGAACTGAAGACCACCATGGTTACATTTTGCAGTACAGTTCTACTTCACATTGAGAAGCATAGTGGTTAGAATACAAATTTTCCAGAATTTTTCAGATCAAAATTGTTATATATTAGATGAGTAAATCTCATATCATATATTTGTAGTGATGTGTGTGTGTGTGTGTGTGTGTGTGTGTGTGTGTGTAGAGAGAGAGAGAGAAACACACATAGAGACAGACAAAACTCACTGGGTATCTCTGTAATTCTAAAAGGGGATAATGGTCAATTGTGTTTCACATTGAGATGCTCAGTTTTTTAAGCCCAAAGAATATAATTGGTTATAATTTCTCTTCTTAGAAGGTACATTGGAAAATCCTTTTTGTTTAGTTTTTATTTGTTTTATCTGAGATGGAAAAGAAAACCTTTGCTCCTGAATCTTATTCCATCTCACCTTCTTCGTTGGTGTCTGTTTGCCTCCTCCCGAGGCTGTTATTGCAGGTGGATATGGGCTGTGTTGTGGGCCTGTCACACTGATTTCATTTATCCTAAGAATAGAAGAATATTAACCCTCCTGTACTGACTATGCTTCCGGGCATCAAGACAGTCACTCAACACTGTTTGAGTCAAACCCATTAAAAAAAAAAATTGGAAAGACCTGTCACAGTAGGACCTTAGTGAATAGCACTGAGTGGGAAGTAGGACTCAATCTTAAATGGCTGATTGATCTATGACACATACTCACATATTCAGTGTAATATAGTCTAAGTTTGAGATGTGCGTAGTTGGCACCGTGAATAACTTATCAATGACTGTTTTGTTTCTGAAGTTCCTTATTCTTAAGAACTGACAACATCTTATATAATTTGTCTTTTTTTGCATCAGAATGCAGTAAGTATGACCTGTTTGCGGTGCCACTTTGTTGCATGCTACATGTTAATCTCTTCAGCTGTGTGAATTTTGCTGCAAATAAACCTTAGTTAAGCACGTGGCCATTAGGGCACTTTGAATCCAATAGAAAGAAGTGTGTGTGTGTGTGTGTATATATATATGTATATATACATTTGAGTTTGAAGGGCAAATTTATTTAATTTGCCTTTATCTGAATTATTTAATTGTTGTGGGTAATTTGTGCAGCTTTGGTCTTTGTTTCTAATCCGCGTGTGCATATCTCATATTCCTTGTTTTGTAGCTTAGCAACCAGAGGAGATTATATTCTCATGTCTAAGAAAACTCATTGCCTCTCCCACCTCAGTTAAAGCTTGTCAACACAATAAGAGTATTGTAAACAGCATCATGGCCACTTCATGGAGACTTCCTGAATCACCTCAAGGACTGTGGCTCATTGGATAAGATCCTATGAATACATTTTCTGAATTAGTCAAATGTCTATTCTTCCCATTAACCTTTCAGGGAATCCTTTTTTTCTTAAGGCCATCCTTTTCATGACTTAAGAATCCTAAATGTTGTCTTATCAGAGAAGTAAATAGAGTTATTAGTGTAGGGCTGATCATGATAATAAATTCTCTAGGTACATAATTGAATTGTTCAGAGCTAAACTTTTAAATACCCAGGAATTAGAAGCACTTTTAAAACTGTGTAAAAATTAATGTCAGGAAGAATACATTTTAAAGATAGTAGATGTAGTAGAAAAGACTGCTGAATTTGGTGCCAAAAGATCTGGGTTCAAATAGTGGCTTTGTCCCTGAGCCTCAGTCTCCTCATCTGTAAAATTAGGGGGTTAGTATTAGATGATGTACTGGATTCCTTCTTGCTCTAAATCCTTTGATCTTATAAACCTGTGATTGCATCCATTTAAAATATTAAAAACAACTTTCACTTGTTTAGTTGAGTATTTTAGTAAGTATTTAGGATTTTTCTACCTTTCCATTTTTTCTTCCTTAGCACAGTCCAAATGTGATCACACTCTATAATATCATTCATATTATTTGTAGCTTAGAGCTGAACATTTTCTGTCACCAGCTCATCAGTGGACTGGCTTCCAGAAGAAAAACTGGGTCAGGTGCTTCTTTGCAGGCACCAGATTCTAATTTCTTCCAGCATCTGCCCTAGTTCCTTTGCCAGCTGCTTCTGTGGTGTTCTAAGGCTCCTACCTTCATCCCTTCTTGTAATGAGGGAACCAGAGTTTCTGTCATCCAAGAAACTGAATGGAAGTTCTGTGATGAGCTCCCATCATCACAAAGTTGAGAGCAGATCAGTAAATGGATGCCAGCAAACCTGAGCTGGAGAAGATAATATATAAGAGTTAGGTAGAGTAGGAGCATCTTCCTTCCTTCTTTATTCCCATACCACCACCATCCCATATCCTCTAATCACCCTCAGCAAAAAGGGAAAAAGCAAGTGATACTACTACCCAAGTCGAGGTGGTTGTCTCTACCAGGAAGACTTTGGACGCATTTAAGATACTCAATAGGATCTCGGTTCACCCATTTGCTGGTTCTACATCCTTCTTATCAGAAGGCATAGAAATGCCTATGATGTGAGAAATTTTAGGCCACATGATTATGAATCCCACTCTCTCTTTTCTGTTAAAATAGGGAAAAAAAAACGCAACAAAGAAACAAGGTTCATCTTTCTTCCACCCTGGTGCAAGACCAAAAGCTGATCTACGTCCCTGGAAATGGCATCATTTGAGTGCCATTTTTTTTTTCCTTAAATTTATTCAGCCAGCATTTACTGTGTGCCTGCCAGGCCTAAGTCACTGTCCTTTACCCCACTGTAGCTAAATCTAAAAAGCTTATTCCTCATCAGCTGAACTGTCAGAGTGTGGGCACTATAAATACACTGAGTTGTGCTTTGTAAAAAACCATTGTTGCTTTTTTTCCTTCTACAGGACAACAGCTTTGAGCAATTCATTATTAACTATTGCAATGAAAAACTGCAGCAGATCTTCATTGAACTCACCCTCAAAGAAGAGCAGGAAGAGTACATCCGAGAAGTAATGTCCAAATACTTTTTAAAAAAATTCTTTTGCCAGTACTAAGAAACATATGGGCATTTAAAACTGTTAGTATCAGCTATGGTCTGTTTAGTTGTACTATGTTTGAGACCACTGGGCTTGGACATTAAGACCTGGGTTTGAATTCTGTCTCTGTTTTTATTAGCTGTGACATTCATGTTACTAAACTCTCTGAATTTGAGTTTAAAACTAATACTTATGCTGCCACCTGCCTTAGAGAATTGTTGTGAGGAAAGCACTATATGATGTGAGCTATTATGTAGTGCAACAGGAAGAGCTCCAACATAGAGCTCTGAAATAATGAAGTATTCGGAAAAGTATCCTGAGAATTGCTTTTATTGGCTTATTTCCTGAAGAAAAAAATTCATTTTCTAAAAATATCCATTTTAGATCACTAATAGGTAACATCTGGCAGGTGCTTTCAGCCTTAGTTGAAAAAGAGGAATATTTTGATTACCCTGTCCCCTCCCTCCAGTATTCATGTATTTTCTAAGTATGAACATGTCTTAATTTGAAGAAATTTTAGAATCCCCAGGACTTTATTTCTCATTTTTTCCCATTTAGTTGCCTTATGCTTATTAAATAATACCATTTTTGTGTGGGTAGTGTGGCTTAATGGTGTCAAAGTCAGGAATATCTAGATTCAGGTCTTACCTTTTGACATATACTAACTGTGTGACCCAGTGTCCCAAGCATCTATCTAACATACTAAGTTATATAGTAGCTTCCAATCTGTATTGGCAGAGGGAGTTTCCTCCCCAGAAGTGCCCTCTACTAATGAAATCACAAGATCAGTTGAAAAAAAATCGCCAGAAAAACTTCTCCATTATTATTTTTCAGGTTCAATAAAAGTTGGTTATTTCTTCTCTTCAGCCTTCTTTGGTGTTCGCATCCCTTATGGACATGAATTTTACCCCCCTCCCTGACCTTGAGCCCCTTCTATGTTGATTTTTCTAATGTGGTAGTTTTCCCTCAGTGAACTCCTAAAGCAAACCATACACTTTTTTGCTTTGAGGATAAATTATAAATATTTTGTCTTTGTTTTACAGGGAAGTCATTACACTTCAGTAATATGTTTTAAGTGTCTGGCACTTTCTTGCAGCATAAACATTTTATAAGCCGGGTCCATTCTCTTCCTGTCTTCCATCATAAAGAAAATGATGGAGCTTTAATCTGTAACTTAAAGTTGTTTGTACAGTTTGAGTAGGACACTCCTACAAGTAACTGTAGTGGGGTGTATGAATTAAATTTCATCTCCTTGGAAGAAAAATAAATGTTTATCCATGTGAAGCTTCGATATACAAAGTGGAAGTGGACTTTGATTTGATGATTGCAATGATTGCATCTTGCATTTAAGTTTTGGCTATGCTGACCTGATAGTTAGAAAAGACTCATAGTTTTCCATGCTTTTAAAAACAAAACAAACAACAACCAAAAAAAACCTCTTAATGTGCACTGTGGCCTAGCATTGGGTCATTTCACACTTGAAGTAGTTAGTTACTATGTGGTTAATATTCTGAAATATCTGACCAACCTTGATTTTTTAAGTATATGCTCTTAAGATTGTATCTCCATTTAATTTTTTCTCATGTTTCAAAATCAAGAACAAAAAAAAAATCTAGGATCTCAGATACTTGGGCTCTAATTCTGACTTGTTTCCTTATAAACATTGTAAGTATACACAAAGCATTATTGACCCAAGGATTCTCAGTATAAATATTTGGCCCCTTGCCAATGAAGTGCATGGGAAATTGACACAGATTGGAGAATGGAATGGAAAGCAAGCCTGGAAACAGTTCAAGGGCATTCATTTTGGTTAGATAATGTCAGTGGTGGACCACTTCACTCAGATAAACGTTTGGGGACCCAAAACCATGTTTATAAACCTTTGAAGGTAACAAAATGAGGGGGATTTAAATAGACTGAGATGAGCAAGATCTGCATAATTGATGGCATTCTACATAGATTCTGCATACATGATGGCATTCTTTCCTTTTTTTTTTTTTAAAGGATATAGAATGGACTCACATTGACTATTTCAATAATGCTGTAATTTGTGACCTCATAGAAAATGTGAGTACCTGATATACAACTTTCTGAAAATGCCTTTGGTACAATAATGATCTCTTATTGTAAATGGAAAGATATCATTACGTTGAGTTTTACAATTTTTGTTTTGACTACTTGATTCTAGGAATTAGTGAATAAAAGTTTATTAAATACCAAGCAGGACTGTATCTGAATCCAAATAGATGCTAGAAAATTCTTGAGGCTCCATAACAGACACTGAAAACAAGGTGAATCATCAGGTATCCTTTGCTTTGGCAAACAGTCCATTCCAGCACATCAAATCTTTGAATACCCCTTACCTGTTTGTTTAGAGCCTGGGCCAAATTCAAGACTCCTGAGATTGTGGTTTCAGACCACAGTAGGTTCCATCTGTTTGCTACATCAAACCTTTGGTTTCATGGTAGTTGCAAAGCATCTCTGCAAGGGATGGATTAGTTCTGGGGTGCACAATGGTGAAGTTCTAGGTAGAGTGTGGCAAGTAGTGTCTTAATAGATAACTTCTACTTTCTCAGCCCTCCTTAGACCTTCATTCACTCCTCCTGGGTATGCAATCCAGAACCAGAATGGCCTTCTCAAGAAGGCTGTAGCCTGGTGGTACATGCTCATTGTAGGCCAACCATGTATCTGGTGGCCATGGAAAATGCCAGTTTAGTCAGTTATTTTTACATCACTAAAACAACAATCACTGGATATTTTATCTTACTCTTATTGCTACCCAAAAGCCATCCCTGGAGACATCAATTCTAGACCATCCCTCCCTACAGCTCATACCAGATAAATACATATTGGTGTGTACAAACAGACTAGTGTATGCACATCATTGTTTACCCTGTCAGATTTTCTATAGTAAATGAAAGTTAGCAAGATATAGTGGAACAGACTGGTCCCAGCCAGGGGACCTTAACCCAGTCACACCCCCCTTAAAAGCCTTTCTAGGTACCTTATTTTCTCTGGGTCCCATTTCCTGATCTGTAAAATAGTGGGATTGAACCGTATTCTTACCAGTTCTAAAATTCTCAAAACTTGAAGGTACTGTGATGATAGGAAATGTTAAGAACATTAACATATTTATATGCAAAGGTAATTTATTCCCTGGGAGACTAGAATGCAAAACCGCCATATGATATGTTTTAGGAAGCTTTCTGTGTCCGTCTTGGGCTGCAGGAGTCCAAGAGTCTGATTCCTTTCAGTGTTTTGTTGGAAAGGCTGTCCTAAAATAGAATGGGCTGTTTTGGAAGTTAGGAAGTTGCCCCTTCTCTGTAGGTTTTCAGGTAAAAGCTGGATGGTTACTTAAAGAAAGGATTCCTTTATGAATTAGACTGTATGACCTCTGACGTCTCTTTCAACTCTGATGTTCTTTGTTTCTATAGAAAGCATTATGGGAGATTCATCTGTTTATTCTATATGGAAATCAGGACACTGATAGGTACTAGCATGATATTCTGTGTGCTAGAGTAAGATCAACAGTCCCTGTTGGCCCAAGTTTTTTCCCTGTGTCTGTGGATTCCTTGACAGTGATGACAATTAAATGATGAGCAATCTTCATTGACGTTATTCTGTGTTGCCCATCCCTTCCCTTTTTTCTGATTTACCTTTAAAATATGAGTGGTGATGTATTTCTTGAGCGTGAGCCCTAAAATTTAATGAACAAGGGTTCCCCAACTTGTTGATACTTGTGCTGGTTCATTACTATTTACAGTAAACAGTAACTCATCTCTTTTGTGAATGAGTTAATTGGCTCCAGGAATCATAACTTGTGAAATTCCTGACTAGCGTGTTTCCCTTCTTAAACATGACATTACACTTAATTACTTCCCTTTAAGTTTTGGAGGGGAAAGCCCTGTAGTGATATGCTTATTCAATCAAGTTATCTCAGCCCAGAATACCTACACTGTACATAGGATGGAAGAAACGCATGTTCACCTAAGAAAGAACCTTGATACTTACAGGAAGTATTTCCTTCCAGCATTCAGTTCAGAAATCCTGTTTATTCTTGTTGCTATTGTAATTACATTGTACTTCAAGAGAGTCTGTACTTCCCCTTGGTTCCATCTGGAATGAATACATACTGTTGAAAGGATGTCCTGACTCCTGTGGGGAAAGTTAGAAGAGAATAGGGAAATCTGCACCGATGGAAATAGGTGGGGCTTCTTTCAAGTATCGTAGGGCTGTACCCGTGGGAGGTGAGGTGGCCATCACAATCGCTTCTTTGGGAGGGAATGATACATGAACACTTTCATAAAGTATACAATTGGGATTTTCTTGTTAAATTTGGACGTGAGTACCGTGTTTCAGTTTTGGCACTTGAGATTAATGAAAAAGTGACAGATTCTGAAGGCACACTAAAGTAGTCCTCTCATATCCAAAAAAGGGAATATTTTTACATTTATGTTAATGAAGAGAATAAGGTTTTAAGCTAGTTAAGCTTAAAACTGCACTAAGACTTTTAGGACACTGAGTGCACAAATACATAAGTGTGTTTGTGTATAAACATATATGTATGTATCCATATGCATATATTTGTATATAGATGTTGTCTCCTCCAGTAGAATGTAAGCTTCTCAAGGGCAAGAACTTTTATTTGTTTTTGTATCTGAAGTTCCTGACATGTAATAGTTGCTTAATAAATATTTGTTGATTGACAATTGTTCTTATTAGATTGGTTGCATTGAGCTCTTGGAATTCAGTCTTTCATAGTCTCACCTTGAACAGTTACAAATACATGCACGTCTTTGTGTGTTTCTCCTTAAAAGAAAACGAACATTGTATTCTATATTTTCTGTTTGGGAAGTTTGGTAAAAATCTGGAAGAAATTTCTCAAGTTTCCTTCCCAAAGTGAAAATCAAATGGTGCCTTGAAAAGTATCTTTCATAGACTAACTCCCATTGAGCTCTACTGTGTGATTTGAAATCTCATAATATAAAAATAAAACAATTAACATTGATTTCCATTTTCTAGATTAATTGCTATCTCAATTAAAAAAAATGAGCCTCAAAAGAAGCTTTTTTTTCTTTTTAAACCAGCTGAATGGTGTTAATCTTCAAGATGTTAAGAAACCCATTCCTCTCCCCTCAAATGAATTTGGGTTAAGATCCCAAAGTCCTATGAGCTATGTTCTTCTAACCTTGCCAAAAAAAAAAAAAAAATTGGCCTCTGTTTTTAGATTTAAACACTTAGAGTAGAATGGTTTTGTTTTTAAGTTAATTGTGTTTTAATGTACTCATTATAAATAATTATTAAAACAGTTGACTGAGGAAGGAAGGAAACTTTTTTTTTTTTTTTGAAACAACCACAGAATACAAATGGAATCCTGGCTATGCTGGATGAAGAGTGCCTCAGGCCAGGCACAGTGACCGATGACACCTTTTTAGAAAAGCTGAACCAAGTCTGTGCCACCCATCAGCATTTTGAGAGCAGAATGAGCAAGTGTTCCCGGTTCTTGAATGATACCTCTTTGCCTCACAGCTGTTTCAGAATTCAGCATTATGCAGGCAAGGTATGGTATGAGCCCCTGACTAGTGAGCCTTCCTTATTTTTGTCTAGGGCAAAGTCATGCTCTGGGTTAGGCAGTCTCACCAGTATTGCCTAATTTCAAGGTTTTGAGGGTAAAAGAGTATAACAGTAAGAAAATGATTGAATAGTGAGAGGTTTCAAGATCACTGAAAGTTCATAAAAAATCAGAACTCCTAAACCATGTAGGGTAAATTCATTTAATGTACCATGCACTGGAAGACAAGCCAGTTTGCCATAATACTAATAGCTAACATTTACATAGTGCCTCCCTATGTACCAGGCACTCTGCTAAGTGCTTTTAACAAAAATGTCTTGATTTTAAAAAGGAATTCAGCTTTGTTACTCTCAAATGCTATCATGTATCTCAAGCTGTATTTATAGATGGTTTATAAATACTTAGTAAATAAAACAAGTTGCTGAAAAACAAAGTATACTAATTTAAAAATTGAAAATCACAATAAATGAATAATAACATGTAAACTTAGAAAGTCACGTAGAGTACAGAAATTCATTACTAGGCTCAAAAGTTGAAGGCAGTGTGTCAAGAATCCATAATTCATGAACAATCATTAGGAAGGATTTGATTCTACTTATTACATAAGAAAGATGGCGGAAACTAATTTTGGCAGCTCTTTGGCTAACTTCTGAAGCCTTTGGTTCAAGAAAGTTACTAATTTTAGTCAGTTTTTCTTTATTTACAAGCATGGCCCTAAAAATTTAGAGGAGAAATTATTTTGAACTTTTTTCCTCAATAAGAAACATGTATACTGTGTCTGAACTAACATATTTCGTGAATTAGTACAATTAAAAATTAGTAAGATATTATTACGTTCCTTTATTTCTTCCCTGACTTCTGACAAAGTATATTTCCTGATATCAAATATACATACATACATATACATATATATGTGTGTGTGTGTGTGTATATGTATGTATGTATGTATGTATGTATATTTTTTTGTGGTACAGAATACCTAATTAAGAAAACACAAACAGTATCTGAACCATTTTCTCCCTTCTCCTGGTTTTGATGAGATTCAGACTTAGGACACATGTGACTTAGCAGGTAAAATAGAACCTCAGAAGATGTGTTTAGGCAGCAATAGAGCTAAACTTGGAAAATGTTAAGATAACATATTTGGAGTTCTTGCAAATCTTGGAGGGCAGAAAAAAGCACTTTGAGATATATCTATTTAGACAGATGGGAGATAAACTTAGAGGTTTTCTTGAATGTTTGAAGCTAATTTGGTATTACAGTGTGACTAAAGCATTGAGTTGTTTCATGGAGAGGGAGGTATCTGGGAAACAGAGATTATCTTGAAATTTTTCTTTAAAGAACTTAATGTTGTGGGTCCAGCTAGCCTGCCACCAACTTCAGTGTGTTTCTTCCAGGTTATGTATCAGGTAGAAGGATTTGTTGACAAGAACAATGATCTGCTCTACCGTGATCTGTCTCAAGCCATGTGGAAGGCCAGTCACTCTCTCATAAAGGCGTTATTTCCTGAAGGAAATCCTGCCAAAATCAACCTGAAGAGGCCACCTACTGCTGGATCCCAGTTCAAGGCTTCAGTGGCCACACTGATGAAGAATCTACAGACCAAAAATCCAAACTACATTAGGTACTTTAGGCTTATCAAAAACTCTGGAAAGTCACTTGTAAAACTAATCTAGAGCTGTGATGTCAGAAATATCAAATAGAAACAGATCCTTGGGGACTTGTATTGACTTAGAAAACCACAAATTAACATTATCTGTGTTGTATTGTACTTTTATTTATTTTGTTAAATATTCCTCAATTACATTTTAATTTTTGGTTGGGTTTATTTTGACCCTTCTACTCTAGAGGGTAGAATATTTTCAGGTCTTATTTGTCCACCCATAGTTCAGTATATTTAATATATTCTTGAACTTGTTCCTGAACAGAGCTTTAGGGGAAAACATTGCTTCCGTGATAGTAATCATTAGTAGTCTTATCCTTGTTGCCAACAGGAATTGTTTCATTTTTTGTACTTGTATCCCCAGGGCCCAGCAAATATTAGACATTTAACAAATACTCATTGATTGAAATGAACACAAAACTGGATCTAGTTACAGATGACGAGTTTGTTAGGGGAAAATTATCTAGATTTTTCTGTGAGAGTTGTAAACCAAGAAGAGGGTAGAAAGAAACGTGTTTGTGCAATGTTGAGTAATTCCCATCAAAGGAATAGAAGGAACTAGTTTGCCCATTCTTCTTGCCCCTAAGCAACAAATGCAAATTATTCCATACTCACCATTGCTTATGGATTCAGCAAAGGCTGAGTCTTAGTATAGTAGACTGTACCTTTGATGAGCTTTGTGCCAAAAGGGATATTGCTGGTGGAGCAGACACCGTATCGAATATCCAACCTCTTGGATTACTTTTGGTGGAGATTACATTGATAAGGCTACTATACTAACAGGATCAATGGAGAAAGCACCTTGCACCCTAATTCATTACATTCAAGGGCCCTGTTGTAAATCTGTATCTATATACATACATACATACATACATACATACATACATACATACATATATATATATATATATATAGATGACAAGAATATGATCTTTTAAAAAAAAACCTGTGAATAAATACTGTTGGCATTTTAAATTGATAGCATGGTATTTTTAAACATAATGGGGAGAAGGTGAAATTGGCAGATTGGACTAAATGAAATGAGCTATAATTCTATGGATATTTATCAGTGGTATGTGTTTGTGTGTGGTAAATGTGTGGGTGTGAGAGATTTATTTGATAATCCCAGTCTGGCCATAAGCAATGGTAGATGTTTTACAGTAACTATTCCTATGGATTTATTACAGAGTTCTTTTAAATGAATTTCAAATAAAGTAAGAAATTACCATTCATAGTTCCATGTTTTCATCTTGTAATATATGAAAAAAATAGACTTGTAAGAAAGTGTAATTCATCAGTAGGTTATTTTTCTTTTAAGAAACACTGAATGAGTTAAAATCAAAATACCCTTCATTTTTCAGGTGTATCAAGCCTAATGACAAAAAAGCTGCCCACATCTTCAACGATGCCCTGGTATGTCACCAGATCAGATACCTTGGTCTCTTGGAGAATGTCCGTGTAAGAAGGGCAGGCTACGCCTTCAGGCAGGCTTATGAGCCTTGCCTAGAAAGGTACAAGATGCTTTGTAAACAAACATGGCCTCATTGGAAGGGGCCCGCCAGGTAAGACATTGACATATTTCATTATGAACTTTTAAAAGGAGAAAGGCTTGTCTTTCCCTTTGTGCTATTAGCCAAAATGTTAAAGTGAGGTTTTGACTATGATAATCATAATAATTAACATTTATACATACTTTACCATTGCAAAGATAGAGGCTGCGCCTAAGAGCGACTGTGAAGGGTAGGTAGCCAATGATTCTTACACTGAAGCTCAGAGAGATGAGGTGAAACAGCTTCTTAGGAGTAGAGCAGAGACAAGGAATGCAGAAATCCAAGTTCAAGGCTCTGCCTGTCCATTATGCCATGCTTCAAAACAGCTTAACTTCCACTTTGCTCCCTCTTTCTTGAAGCTCTCATTTAATTTTGGAAACCAAAAAGGATTCTTCAGTTCTATTTTGTTGGATTATATTGTCAAGGGAATTTTAAAAATAGATGTATGGCAGATGAAGAAAGAACTGATCAGTGACTCCTAGTAGAACTCTATGAAACATCTCTTTGAACACCTCTATTTTATAGGTGAGGATGTTGTGGTCCAGAAAGGTGGACCCAGTTAGTTATTGGCAGAGATGGGCAATGATGCAACTTTGAGATTATTAATAAAAAACCTATTCTTTCTGTTATATTATACCTCCTCCAGTTTAGTTCAACAAGTCCTTTTCAAGCATCTGCCATGTGCAAGGGATATATACTGTTCAGGTGCCAAGGACAATAAGAAGAAACAAAGACCAGTACCTGCCCTCAAGGAGCTTACCATCAACATTTACCTCATCTTTCACATAAAAGTCCACCAGCAGTTTTGAATGTCCACCTTGTGCCAATTGATAACTTGATAGTTAGAGACAGAAAATCATAGAAAGATAGTGCGGTCTAATGAAGATTTCATCACACCATTGATTGGAGACCTTGGTGCCATATTAGACTCTGGTGTTAATTTTCAGAGTATGATGGTATAATGTATTAGGGGAAGGGTGAGAAGTTGAATTGAATAAGCTCAGATGTCACTTCTTACACTAATTCTATCCTTCTATGTATCCAGTTTATTTAATTTATTTGTGTTTCATTTTTTCCCACCTGTGAAACAAAGGCAGAATGGATAGAGAGCTAAGCTTGGAATCAGTAAGACCTGGATTCAGATGCTGCCTGTGACACATAGTGGTTGTGAAATCCTGGGCAAGACATGTCACCTCTTGGGGACATGACACCCAGACAATCATATTAGAGGTATAAATTAAAGAGCAGGTGCTGGGTAATTGGAACATCTTTATTAGGAGTTACCCTCTACCAATGAAATCATAAGTCTGGTTTAACACACACACACACACACACACACACACACACACACGCATACGAAGAAGAAGAAGAAACAATGAAAGCCTATATCTCTGCCTGCTCAACTCTTTACTATGGAAATAAAATATTGTGAGCATTATTACTATGCCCAAGTAGGGTCTGTATCCTGAGTTTCCCACCAGCTGGCACTTCTATAGCGTTGTTTCCCCACTCATGCCCCAGGAGATGGGAATGTTTTTAAAAATACTTTCAGTGGGTTAACTGAGGGGGCTCAGAATAAATCCTTGCACACATTTGACAGTCCTCTTCTCTGCATTGCATAATCCCTTCTGTGCAAACCCACCTCTGGATAGTACATAAATATGGGTACATGGATGCAGGGCGTTGCTATTATTGGCCAAATGCAAGAAGAAATTGGCTGTAGGTCCAGGTTTCCATTTAAAAATTAATGATAAACCTAAATAGAACAGTATATACAAGGGATTAAGAGGATTTGGTTTAATCTGTGATATTAAGTCTTTCTCCTTGAAAATTGAGGGAGGAGAGTATGGGAGGAATGAAATAAAATAAATAACAATGGAAGGACTAAAAGAAGGCTTTTAAAAAGCAAAAAATAAAAATAAAGTTGATACACAGATTTTTTTTTCCCTTAGCACTCAGTAAATAACACAAATTCATGGTCACATGAACAGTGGTTTAAATCATTTTTTTGGTTTGCTTGCCCTGTTTCCTATATGTATTTCATTTGTTCTTATTCGTATAGTTGAATCTTTATAGAGAGGCAGCTTGGTAAAGTGGACACAGGGTTGGCCTTGGAGACGATGTAGGTTCAGGTCCCAGCTCTGTGACCTTGGGCGCCTTGGTGCCCAGGTAGCATTTGAAGTTGCGTAACATCTCTATTGGTAGAAAGAGATGCTGCCTATACTGATGAAATCCTAGGTCTGGACCCATCAAAAAAATGTCATTGCAAGTTACAAAAAAAAAGTAATAGAATTATTTTTAGACATTTCTTGCAAGAAATGTTTTTATAAGAACAGTGACATTTTAAGCATGAAAGATTTTTTGTTGTTTGTTCATTGCTTGTTTTGTTTTTTCTGTACCAAAATGCTACAAGGCAGTTTAGTTTATTTGGAAAGAATTTTTCGTAGCTAAAAGGTAAGAGGAAAAAAAAAAGCCTCATTCTTTTTTATTTTCCTAGAGCTGGTGTGGAAGTGCTTTTTAATGAATTAGAATTCCCTGTGGAAGAATACTCCTTTGGTAGATCAAAGATATTTATCCGGAACCCAAGAACGGTATGTGACCCAGACCATCTTCTCGGAGGTTTTATAAAAGATTTATGTCAGCAAGTTCATGGAGAAAATCTAACTCTAGAGCATTACCTGGGATATTACAAATACACTAATTTGGGGAAAGGTATTGTTTCCTCTATTTTTTTTTTAACAACTACACCGACCTGCTACTGTTTTGAGCAGAAAAATTTTACACAACCTGATGACTATAAGACATTTTTTAACAATATACATAATGTGAATATTTCCAGTGAAAATTACAAAGTCTGCATATCTTTGATTTTATTTAATTGAATGATACCATAAAATTTGTACAGTTTTATCAAAATGTTCACATCATCAGTCACTATTTAAAATGTTATTTTTCCTTTTCTGATGATGCTGTCACCTTTACCTTCATATGGGGTTTTAAGTCTGTCTCGCATAGCTGCAAGCTTCTGCTGCTAGATGACTTTGGTAAAGCAGTCACTCCAGCCAACCATTGCTTTCCATTCCATTTGAAAATCTAAACACTGCCTATTTAATTCCTGGGAAGGCCTAGTGGCCAGCCAGGATCACATGGGCCAACCCAATGATAATTGATAAACCCGTTAGAATACGTAGAGCATCAGGAAAGGAGAGCAAAAACAACTGTGTAAATAGTGTCGTCAAACCAGCAGACAGAAAATTTCAACTTTGTGGCTGCAATTCAGTGTGCACGGGAGCATCTCCATCACTGGGCAGCCTCACATTCATGTAGGTTAGAGAAAACACTAGAGAAAAATAGATCTATTCATGGAAAGTTTGAATTATGGAATACTTTGCAATAGTTTTATTACTTAAAAGTCATACAGAAACTGAAACAAGGCTAACAAAGGATTGCCTATTCCAGATCCTTAAGGGGCCTGCGTTAATGTTTGATCAGAATAACACATAATTAGCATATCAATAAAATAAAGCACTTATTTCACAACAGTTGTGTATTACTATCTCAGTTTTTCAGATGAGGAAACTGAGGCGTAAAAAAGACCAAGGGACACATCTCTGGTCATAGAGAAGCTGTAAGTGACAGAGCTAAGATGCTTTTTAAACTTCCTGTTTTCTCTAACATTTGTAAACATAGTTCCTTAATAAATATTCATAGGATCATAAAATTTCAATCTAGAAGGCACCTTAAAGAGGACCCAATCCAATTCCCTCAATTTTAAAGATGAGGCCCAGAGTGAGGAAATTACTTTCTCAGGGTCACAAAGTATCAGAGCTGAGATTTGAACCCAGGTTCTCTGTCTCTAAATCCATCACTGTATGATGCATTAGATTTGGTAAACTGTACAAATACAAATTTCAGCTTATCCCTAATTAATTGCTATAGAACAAATAAATTCTTCATTAATGGGGTTTTACTTTTTCTGTGTTTACCAGCATAATTTTTACATAAGCTAGTCCCCAGTTTGTTGTAAAATCAAATGTTCACGTGGCTGAACATTGTATCATTCTATTAGCTTCTTAAGAATTGTCTTTATATGTGATATTCTGGGTTGAAATAATCTTTTTTTTAATACATGACTCAACAGCTATTCAAGTTAGAAGACCTAAGAAAACGACGCCTTGAGGACCTGGCCACTCTCATTCAAAAAATTTTTCGAGGTTGGAAGTGCCGGACACATTTCTTGTTAATGAAAAAAAGTCAGATTGTTATTGCTGCCTGGTACAGAAGATATTCGGTAAGTTAGCAATCTTTAAACATGTAGTCTTCCTTATTGTATGAGAAATTGTCTTGATTTTTATGCTTATTTTTGTCATCGGTAAAATGAGGGAGTTGTTCTAGATGTTACTTGATGTCCTTCCCATCTCTTAAATCTGTGAAACTGTGACATGGGAAATCAACACCAGAAATGGATTCTAATATACACTGACCTGGCATTGATTCATTTAATCTTCAGTAGATGGTGGCCTAATGATTCCAGTTTAAAATCTCTGTTGCAAACTCCATTTTCATGCATTGGAAAGAATAAAAATAGTAATAGCTAACATTTATGTAATGCTTTATGGTTGGCATATCACTGCACACATGCTATCTCAGGCTGCAAACCTGGACTGAAAGATTTTATTTCTTTTTATTCTTGAGAAAACTCATCTGTGTTGATAATATGTGCAAAAGTATGCTTATATAATTATCTAATTGTAGTTATTTGCTTTCCCATGGATTAAAGATTCGTTGTTACAATTAATCAGATTTCAGGTACCTGTTCATCTTTTTTTATTTTTTTTTTCAACTCATTAGCAGGTGAGTTGGAAAATGAAAATTTGAGTGTATGTATCTCCCTTGGAGCACTCTGCCTGTTTTTAGTCAATAGACATGTTCAACAGTAAGGCCATATTAAATCAATGACAGATGTTGCTGATGTACTCCCATAGTGTGTTTTAGTATAATGCAAATGATCTTGAAGTTTGGGGGATTAATGAAGTACTTAACTACTCATTGATTTACCCGAGGCAGCAAAAGAAAATCTGCTTGATTTTCAGCCCTTTGAAGACAAAGTATTTGTTTGATTTAATATAGTGTAGTCAAACAGAGCAGAACTTCAAATATGAATGTGTGTAGACAAGTTAATGCTTGATTCATTTGTGGCATTTTCTTAAAAGATGGATTGTTTGGTTTCATTATTACTAGATGGTCCTGCTCTAATGAATTTCCCACTGGGGAGAATTCTAGTTCCACTTGACTGGATTAAAAATTATAATGCTGTGCTTTGTATTTATTTGAGAAAATAACAGTATAGAGTGATGTCTGTGTAGGCCTATTGTATTATTTCATTGTTTTGAAATAATGACTGGAGATGAAAAATAGGACACACAATAATGTTATGGCTGTTTTATTATCAGTTGCTTAGGTGGTGGTTGAATGTCCAAGTGATATTAATTTTTTAGGTTTATAAGTACTAAGAATAGCCCAGTCTCTAAGCAGAAACTAAATTTTCTATGGACCTGTGACTCTGTTCCATAACTAAACATCAAATTATTCATCTAATCTAGTCATTAGACTAAATATTTTCCTTCTACTGTGTGGCTGTTACTTCCATTTGGGATGATATTCTAAAATTATTTTCACTTATTTGATAAATCAAATTTATGGGATAAAATTTCAGTTCATTTTTTATAAAAATCAGTACATAAATAAGGTTTCATGGCTCCTTAAGAAAAACTTTAGAAGATAAATGAGTAAAGTTTTCGCAAGGAGAAGGTCTTCATGCAGTCACTGATTTGCCCATTTATTTGAGACTTTTAAAAAAGTTCGTCTCATAGCATGCTTTAAACATCAGTGAGTTTTAAAGCTTTCTCAATAGTTAAAGAAAAGGAACACTAAGGAGGTAGAATCTGTGGGAAATAACCCAAGTGTCTCATTTCCCCTGTTAATCCAGAGAGAGGAGGCAGTCTCTGTACATTTGAGGGGCAGGTGTATTCAGTATTTCACAGTGATTGAGGAAATATTACATCCTCATTTTTGTGCTAGAGACTAGCAGGGAGAGGACAGGCAACCATAAAGTAGAACCTTCCCTTATTTATGTTGTCTTTTGTTGATAGAAAACCATCTAATTTAAATATATTCTTCATAATTAAAAAAAAAACAACTGTGGTTAAAAAAAAAAAGTGTTATTTGTTACCAGAAGGTGTTTGTTGAGCAATTTCTCTGTTTCTTTGCAAAATTTATCCAGAGACTATTTTATGTTTTCGTGTGTGTGTGTGTGTGTGTGTGTGTGTGTGTGTACATATATATTCTATTTAATACACACACACACCCAGAGCTTGGTACATTATTACACTTGAACTAAGCTTCAATTCAAAGAACATTTATTAAGTAAGCACTTACTACGTGTCTAGCACTGTGTGGAGTGCCAGGGATATGAAGATAAAAAGTTAACATTCCTTGTCCTTAAGGGGCTTACATTCTGAGGGTGGGCAGGGATTATAGCATGTGTAGACAGATAAATAAATACCAGCTAATTAGAGGATGAAGCATCCAAAACTGGGGAGATCAGGAAAGGATGCACAGAGGATTTGGTGCCTGAATCTCTCCTTAAGTCAAAATGTGGATTCTAAGAAATGAAGGTGAGGACGTGAGGAAGGCTGTCTTGAAAGACAGCCTGTGAAAGGCACATCAGGGTTCAGGAACCTCTAGTTTGTCTGTAAATTGTGTGAAGAAAAGCAATATGAAATAAGCCTGGAAAGGAATATAGGACTCAGACTATGGAGAACCTTCAATTTTGTGTATTATCTTGGAATCAACGAGGAGCCGCTGAGCAATGTTGAATAAGGTTGGGGTGGGGGGTGTGATGTGGTCATACCTGTGCTTTAATTACCTAATTAATAAGGTAGCTGTGTGGAGAATGTACTGAATAGAGAAGACTTAAAACCGAGAAATTGTTCAGAAGCTCTTTCAGTAATCCAAGCGAGTGGTGATAAGAGCTGAATCTGTAACGGTGATCATGTGAGTGAAGAGAAGGGGATGAGTGAGAGAGAGGCTGTGGGTGTAGAATTAGTAAGTCTTAAGAACTCATTGGCTATAATACTGGTGAAGGATAGGAAAAAATCAGAGGATGACTCTGAGGTGGTAAATCTGGATATCTCCTATAGAAAATAGGCAGGTTTAGGGCAGAGAATGCTGTTTTGAAATGTCTGAGGTAAAGCTATCCAGAAGATAGGCAGAGGGTGATGCAGGACCAGAGTGGAGGAGAGAGTAGGGCTGGATATTAGCTGTGGAAGTCCACAGAGCTATGGGAACTGATTATATCACTAAGGGAGGGAGAATAGAATGAGAAGAGAAAAGCAGCCAGGTCAGATCTTTTGGGGGCACCTGTGCCTGGTGGGTGGGAGATGCTTGATGATTAACATGGTAGACCGAGGAAGAGCAGACAGGTAGAAGGAGAACCAGGAAACAGCAGTGTCTCACACTCGCGGAAACCAAAGGAGAGAGTGTCCAGGAGAGCACCAGTGTCAAATGCTGCAAAGAAGAGAAGTCATAGAGGATGTGAGGATAAAGAAAAGGTCATTGGATTTGGCATCATTGGTACTCTATAGCCTGCCCTGCAGTTTGACTATGACTTCAAGTCTGGAATTAACCCTGGAAACATACCTATTTTGTGGACATGAGTCCTGGTAGCCCACTACCATTGCTGCTCAGCACAGGTTAGGGGAAGGGATATAAAGGGGAGAGGGATCAGCAAGTAACTGGAAGTCTGAGAAGAGAGAGGAACTAATTTCCTTTCATCTTCTCTTCCACCCCAAGAGTCAACATTTGCCTTTGTTCAGCCCTCAAGCTTGTATATTTTACGGATCTGTAAATAGAACTGTTCACACTTTTTTTTCTTTTTTACCTGCAGCAACAAAAGAAATATCAACAGATAAAGAGTTCTGCCATTGTGATACAGTCTTTCATCCGAGGATGGAAGGTGAGTTTGAATGGAATATGATATCCTTGTTTGGAATCTTCACATTCTTTATAAATTCTTTACGGGTCCCTAGAGTTAGTTGAGCAGGAGGAAGTCTCCTTATTTCCTACTTTACCCCCTTAGTCAATCAGATGTAAAGTAATGCCTGTTGGTGGCCAAGCTGGTGACCTAATGCTTCAGTATTCCAGGTTAACTCTGTCTTTGTTCTCTGAGAAGGGCTTGGGTAGGGTCAGTGATAGAAAAATTACCCTGCCAGATACCTTTATTTGGGAGGCTACAGTCCCCAGCAACAGTGCCATATTGTCTTAGTTTTAAAATGTAATGTTATTGATGTTTTATTATTTTTTTTATCTTGCTAAGTATTTCTCAATTACATTTTAATTTGATTCTGGCCATGCTGGGGCATGTTTGACATCTCTGGTTCAGAAGGCCTTACTTCCATGCCGTTTGATCCTGCCAGACTGTAGGGCACCTACGTTTTCCCCTTCTCTCCTCACTCTCCAACCCCAGGGTGGACTCAAGGATGCCTGAGCTATCATAGAGTGATGTGTTCTGGGTCCAGATCAATTCTAGAGGAATCATAGGTTGCCTGCTTTTAGGTCCTTCCTACCAAAGGCTAATTCCAGGGCTATTCTAATGTCCTTGTTCCAAGACACTTTAGACTCTTACTTGTCCACTGCCTTGCTTCAAAATGCCCTTGTTCAGGCCTGGAAAAAACTTTTTGATAATGGCCCAGGCTCAGAGATTTACTCTTTAGGGTGGTTACAGGCTTATCTCCAAAGTTGTGGATTTTCTATAGGGGCAAAGGGCTTGGGCTAGCCTTGGGAATGATTGGTCTTTGTAATGGACTCCTAAGGTTGATTTTCCTGAAAGCAAAATATTCTTCATTGTAGCAAATGCCAAAGTGGAAGTCTTAGTCCAAATAATAAGCAACATGGCTCCACTGTATAGTTCTTCCCTCCCATTCTTAAGTCTGGATGCTACCACCATTGACTGACCCCAGTGTTCATCCAGTTTGGCCTGACATTATTCCTTCCAGCAACAGTTTCTCTTCTCACCTGATAGCCACATTTGCCCACCTTTCTTTCCTTGGCCATTCCCTTTGGTTCTAGCTCCTTTTTTTGTGCATATCAACCCAGCCTTGGCTTTCAGCTCTTTTCTGGATGAAGGTCATGCCTTTACCACAGCTGTGCCAAACCTTTTGTTCTTTGTGCTATAAGCAGTTTTTTGTTTGTTTGTTTTAGTAGAGAGACTTCAAACAAAGGAGACATCCCTTTCATGCAAACTGGTGGTTATTCTTCCTTTTTTTTTAGATGATCTGTCTAAAAGTTCCAGTGATCTACCTGACTTTGTCTGATGTGTAAGGACAGAGCTAGTCAAAACTTCCTTTCCCCGTTCAAGTGATCGTCACATTCCTTTGGTCTGAACATTGTATAGCTAGGATAGAGACACTGCTCTTAGTTGCCATCATCACAGCCAGCATAAGGATACCCCATATCTGTCGGGGAAAAAGAGCATTGCTTTTTCTAAGATGCCAATGAGGTAGTCATGGCAGAAATGGAGATATAGATACTATCACATTTCATACATCACTACTAAATGGGAGCACACTGTGAATGACCTGTAGGACAACTAGTGTTCCTTAGCCCACGTTCTGAGAACCACTGTCTTACCATAGGGTAGGCTCAGATCCTTCTCTTAAGGCGTTGGTTTTGTCATCTATGAGTGTGAGGTTCTGCTGATCTGCTCTAGAGTAGGAGTAATGGGATATAGTGGAAAGAAGGCTCGACGTCAAGATGAAAGACCTGAGTGTGAATCTTGGCATAGACTTGCTGTTGAAGGATTAGAGACAAATCATTTCACTTCTGAGCCTGCATTTAATCATCTGTAAAATGAGATTAGAATACTTGGAGTCCTTACCTCACAGAGTTATTTTGAAGACTTGGCCATTGCATTTTTGACTGCTTAACATTAATATAGATATTAGTCCTTTTAAAAAATAAATTTTTAAAAGGTAGAATTAATTTTTAAAAGTGTTTTATTGATATCTTTCACTTTTCCATCATTTTAGTTTCCAAACATATTCCTCCCCCCCATATCCCCACCCAGAGAGCCATCATTTTTTACAAAGAATGAAAAAGAGGAAGGGATGTGGTTCAGCTTAAAACTAAGAAACCCATCGATGGAATTTTGACAGTGTATGCGATGTTTCTGGACCCATCATCCCCTCTGCAAGGAGTGGAGTGGGATACATTTTCTCTCATCTCTACTTTGTGGCTGTTAAAAGAGAATGTATGGTGATGATTATCTCTTGAAATTTTTAAAAATTGTTATCTTTATTTTAAAAGTATCTATATTACACCTACTAGATGCCAGGCACTGTGCTAAGCACTTTTTACAAATATTGTTTCATTTGTTCCTCACAACAACCCTGGGATATGGGTGCTGTTATTATCTTCATTTTACAGTTGAGGAAAACTGAGGCAAACAATTTAAGTTTTCAGTGGGGTGGGAGATATCCTTTGTTTTACTTTTTAATTTTTTTTTTCTTTTGGATGTACCCTAGGCTCGAAAGATTCTGCGTGAATTAAAACACAAGAAGCGCTGTCAGGAAGCTGTCACCACCATTGCTGCTTTCTGGCATGGTACACAGGTAGGCAAGATTCTGCCTTACAAAGCCAGTGATCTGGGGAGAGATACGGGAGCAGAACTGTGGTCCCTCCCTAATGAGGAGCAGATAAATACATCACTGACTCACACTCCCAAAACTTGCATTTATTTTCCTTTTTGCTGCTTGCTTGTTTTTCAGCAGTTTGGGCGTGGAACAGCAGCACATGCTTTCAAGTTTACTGTTTTGTACTGACCTGTCTCTCTCTTTCTTTTTTTTCTTTCTCCATTGGGAACCAGCAGTAACCATTTCTGCCTTAAACTTTTCTATAACTCCTTTTCAAATACACCACAGGCGCGAAGGGAACTGAGACGACTGAAGGAGGAGGCTAGGAATAAACATGCTATTGCTGTTATTTGGGCTTACTGGCTTGGACTTAAGGTACTTCATGCACACATCCCATCACTCCCCTCTGTGACTGATGGTCCCCAACCTTATTCAGTAGCATATGGAGAGGATTAATGACTAATGTTAAAGTTGGCTAATATTGGTGCATGCATTTGATGCCACAAAAAGACTTTCAATGTCAGTAGTGTTTGTAGGAAACTCAAGCATGTCCAGACAAACAGTACTAATGGTTTACTAATGAGTTGCTAGTGTAGAATTTAAAAAAAAATGTTTCAAATTTAAAAGAATAGGTTTTGGAATTGTTTGCACTAAAATACAGTACGCATGTTTCTCTTGGCTACTAGCCATTTAACTTTTTATGATAATTTTTTTTTTAACGTGGATTGCGTCTCATCCATTTCTTTACAATGGAAATGCTAAAAACTAACTAAAAAAAAAAAACCCCACATACTTTTAAAAGAAGTTTAAGAATGAAATTTATTTACCAGACCTACAGAGGCAACCATTAGCTATCAGGAAGGAAACATTACAAATATATAATGTTATCATCTGAGTTTTAACAGAATGCTGTTTCCGTGCAAAACTAGGCTTATGGCCCCCAAGGAATCCCCGGAATTTCAGCATCAGCTGTTTGTTTTCAGAAACAAGGTCCTCCTGAAATACTCTTGCTAATCCCCAGGCTATGGTTGGAGGCTGTGTGAACACTGAAAATACTCCAGGGAGCAATATTTTAAGTATTTTTATTACTTTAAACAGCTAAAGGTCTCTTTGCTCAAAATTTGGATTCCTTTTTAAAGCTAAAATTGTTGGTGTGGCCCTCCTGAGGCAGCCTGATATGATGAATAGAGCATTGGACATAGGAAGACCTTGATTTAAGGTCTGCATCTGACACAGACTTTCAAATGTTATATAAATGTCAGTTACTATTACTATTATCGCTGCAAACTCAAGAAGAAGAGTCATATGATGAGCTCAAAGCTATCTACAGTAGATTTACACACAACCCATTATATTATAGATACATCTGTAGAGCATTTATTAAGCCTATACTATGTACTACCTCTGTGTAATCACGGTGGATACAGATACAAGCGAGTAAGACAGGTGCCTACATTCAAGGACTTTCTGTTCTAATAGGTAAAGATAGCACATAAACGGAAGTAAAGATGGGGACAGGAAGCGGCAGAGCTCCGTATATCAAGAGTAACAAAAACCTTTAATAAGGTCTCAGCCCAGTCGATGCAGTTTACTTAGTTTGGTTTTAGAATTTCAATATAAATTATTCAAGGTTGTGTTATTCCAATAACTTCAGACGTGAACTATTTCTACATGTAAATCGAAGTTATTTTCATCTATTTCTGAATCAAAGAAATGTTTCTTGAAATTCCAACTTTAATTGCAACTGTAGTCATTTAGTTATATTTTTGTCCCTGAGATTTATATTCTTCAGTGAACTCCATGATTCTCTCCTTGAGCCATATGTATATATATACCTCTTTTGAGATGTACACAATCAGAAACAAGTGAACCATTCATTTAAATTATTCAAGGAATAGTGTAAGTACATGGCTACATCTACCTTATTTGAAAATCATTGTTCCCATTGATGGTTAAAAATACATAAACACATAAATAAATAAATTTAATAGTCGAACCTTTCCCAATAGCTAAAACAGAAATCTCATAGACTTCTGAAAGGCAGAAAGTAGAATTCACTATTTTGTGAACAATTTCAATGAAGTACATGAAATTAAAAGGTAGAAAAATATCCAACATCTTCCACCTAGTCAGTCCATCATTGTTTATTTTTATGGTAGAATAAATACTTAAATTTTAGTTTAAAAATTGAGTGCTTATGGTTAGCTTTAAAACTGGGCAATTTCTTCATTTTTTTTTCTTGTTCCAAACTTACTGAGATATGCGGTTAACTTCACTATATTTCCTTTTGTGTACTTGGCTATAACAGCAACTGAGTTTTCGTGAATGCTTCAGATTTTTAATACAAAAGAATTTCTCTTTAACTTAAAGGTCAGTCTTCAGGGAAACAGCCTCTATTTGTGTTTTTCCCTTTGCAGTTACTGTTAAAAGTGCTTCCTTTTAAAAATCTTACTTTCTAATTAATAAAACCAAACAAAAACATATGGCTTCTTTAGTCCTAAGCATCCCTAGTGTTTTAAGGGGGAGTTATGCAAGAAATGCGAAAGAATAAGAAAAAAGAAATAAAGAAAAAAGGAAGGAAAGAGGGAAGAAACAAGACAAAAAGAAAAAGAAAATAGTGGTAGCATGCCACCATTCTTTGACCTCAGGTACCCCGAGTTGACTCTTGTGCAAAATCTTGTTCCATTGGAAACACTAGTGACCTTTGCACCATTTTCACACTAGTCCTTTGGGTTTAAATGGTCATATCTTGTTCTTCCATCATTCTGTAACTTTCATTCATAAATCAGCTGTTCTGTTTGGGAGTACCTTTTTTTCTGGACATTGTGCTGTCTGCATTGGGCTGTCTCTTTTATTCACTATCTAAACCTTTTAGGCTCGAAGGGAATTGAAACGCTTGAAGGAGGAGGCTAGGCGTAAGCATGCAGTTGCTGTCATTTGGGCTTACTGGCTTGGACTGAAGGTACTCTCTCAACCCCTCCTTCCTCTCCACGATGAACTCAGTAAAGCGTGGCACTTACTAACATCAACAACTGGTTTTTGTGCTTGCTCTTGATCTGCACTATCTTTTAGACTAGTCTTCCCTAATTTGTTTTGTTTTGTTTTGTTGTGTTTTTTTGGGGGGAGGATAAGCCATTTCAGAATTTTCTGATTTTAATACACGTTTTGATCATCTTTTTTAAGTGACACATTTTAGAATGATCTTTTGAGGCACTTTTATTTCGTCAGATTTCTAACATCAGTTCAGTTAGGTCAACATCTTTTAATAGTATTTCTTTTATTCCTTTTATCAGCCTGATTTTAATGCCTTAAGATTTATAGCTTTCCTTAAAACACCCATCAGAGAGCAAGTTCAATATGTAATTCAAATCATGCTTCACTACATTTCTACATTTAGATGAAAGAAAGGCAATCTGTGTTTACCCTGGAGGCTTGGCTAATGGATCACTCAAGTTAAACCAGGATACTAAATTCAGAAAATGTGTTTGCTTTAATGCAAGTATTATGGCATTAGAATCATGGTGTACAAACTAAATATGGCTTTAGACTTCAGAAAACTTTCCAAATGATCCACTCTGGGGCATTTTTAAGGATTTTTCTTTCCTGGAGATGTATGTCAAAATTGTGCAAGCTTTGCTGAAATTTGTAACTACAGAAATAACTTTGTTCATCTAATTATGAATGTCAAATGAGGCTTAAAACAGGGAGATACTCCTGGCAGAGTTTCATCAAGTATCAACAAAAGAGGAATTCCCTATAGATGCAGAGGTATTCCAAATAAGCATTTTTGCAGATGTCATGGTGCCAGTTGAATTAAGCCCTGGAACATTTGCAGAACCTCTTCAAGGAAATACATCATCACTCTAAAGAGTTTGGTCCATCTTTCCATTCAGGCAAAACCAAGTAGATTGAGAATGCCTATGGTCAGTATATGTCTTAGGTGGTAAGCTAGACCCAGAACTTGAAAAGAAGAGAAGAATTAGCTTTAGGAAATCATAGCAGTCTTTTCAGTGACTTCAGACATTTCCTAGAACTAATGACCTGTCTTTTTAACAACAATAATTCTAGTAATTCTGCATGAACACAAATTATGACACATCACAGTCTACAAATAATTTAAAATGGAGAATTATCCATCAGGACGTGAAGACACACATGGCAGGTGTGATTAGACATTGTCAAAATACAAACAGAAAATTGTACGTTAAAAAAATGCCATAAATAACTTTGTAAGAGAGATTTATGAATAAAAAAAGAGCTGGTTATGAGGCAGGCAGCCAGGTGGCATAGGACCTAGAATCAGGAAGACTTGAGTTCAGATTTGACCTTAGACACTTCCTTGCTTGATTTAACCTCAGAGACTTCCTAGCTGTGTGACTTGGGCAAATCACGTAACTTCTCTGCCTCAGTTTTCTCATCTGGAAAATGGGGGTGATAATGACACCTACCTTCCAGGGATTTTGGGAGGATCAAATGAGGTAATATTTCTAGAAGCCTTTAGAAACCTTAAAGTGCTGTCTATATAAATGCTAGCTATTATTATTGTGGAGCAAGGGTGAGTGTGCTCCACCGATGTCCACACAGTGTTAAAAAGCTTTAGAGGAAAATCCCTCAACATACTGGGCAGAGTCCACCTGGGGAGAATTCCAGAAGAAAATACGCAGGAGTTACACAGGATGAGATGGCATGAATGGGTTTCATTCTGTACCAGTGGAGGGAATACCCACATTGATGAGGCCCCAGATACATTAAAGAGAGGTGGGTGCACACAGCCACTGGCCATAGCAACCTATTTTTGCCCTCTCTTAACATAGGTTGTCCTTACTGTTATCTTTCTATCAATAATTTGACAATTACACCTTGTCAGCAAAGTGAATGAAATATGTTGCAATTTACTTTTAGTCCTGTTCAAGGAAGAGAAAATTATTTATGAAAATAGGACTAAAGCACTCTCTATAAGATTCACAAGTTTTTGAATTTGAATAACCTTAGGAATACTAAATCTCTACTATGAAGAATCTAATTACTAGTTCTATGTATAGAATTTTAGCAGATTACCATTTCAATTAATATAACTGAAATTAAAAAATAGAAAAGTTAGCTAAGGAACATTGACAAAATGCCTTAACAAATAGTCCACTGTTCTCATTGTAGATACACTGTGTCCTTAAGCTACCATTTTTTTAAAAAGAAAGAAACGAAAAACTTTGACAAATGTTACCTTTCCAGTACTCAAGAAATGTACTATGTGATCATTTTGTTTTTCATTAATTAACTAAACCTTTTACTTGTTTTCTCATCTTATCTATATGTTATAATTGGCATATTTTCTTGCTGGGGAATCAGTGATTTTCAAAATAAGGAATAAATCACATTAAGTTGAGATATTGGTTAAGTATAATCATTCTTAGTCACCATTATGTGATTCATTTACTTCATCTGAGTAGTTTATTTCATTTTTCATCTGGCATTGTGGAAATACTAAAAATAACAACTATCAAAATAAATGGGTTTTCCCATTTTAAAATAATTGCTATTCAAGTGATATGAGCTAAACATTTCAAGTTCAAGAATTTTATCCAGAGTAAGTTACAGAGAACCTGTGGGGAGTACTTTTACTCTATGGATTGATTTGCTACTCTAACTAGTACCACTTTGAAATAATCTGCAAGTACATTAGAAGCCCCTTTATATCTTGTCACAGCAAACAAGTCAGTATTTACTGAATTTCACAAATTGGATCAAATTTTAGATCTAACTCCCATTTTGCAGGCTAACCAGATTCTAATAGGCTTTTATGGGCTTGGTATGGTTTTTGTATTTTAATGGTTTAAAGAATAATGGTTTTCATATGGTTTTATCCAACATGAAATACCAATGAGCTATGTTATGATGGGGTTCTCCTCTTCCTAAATCAAACATATGTGCCTTGTCCACTTGTACAATCTATACTGTAGTGAAGATAGCTATTCATAAGTAGTCTTTGAAAGTTTGCCAGTTTTATTCCATTTTTCTCGTGGCCAGAAATGATTAGAGAGTATAAGTTAAAATATTCACTCGATCTGGTGACTCTGTTGCCCAACAGAAATAATGGTCATTGATCTCTTAGTACCTAAAGTAAAGGATAGATGATTATAAAATGTAGAGGAAAAAATTTGGCTCTTGGTTAGAGCATGAAACTTTGCTCTTGTAAAATTTACTATGTTTTATTTTAAAAAAAAAAGACAAAGGGAACTATCTCTCCCTTTAATGTTTTTTTTTAAATAAGCCAAAATATTGATAGCTAAATGCTGATTCTTGGATTCATTTCAATATGATGATGAATATTTAAAGGAAAATCTTTTCCTTTTGGTTAGATAATTTAGCTTTTATAGTAGATAATGATAGCAAAGCTATAAGTGCTATATATTTGTATATTTTTAAACCTTCATATTCACTTTTGTCAAAATTTGGTTCTAGGTAGGGCCATATGGCTTACAGAAGTTCTGATTATCTTGTCACTTGTATATGTGTTAGAATTTAAATATTCTTATTTAATCTGTTCTAAGTAGTTTTCTAGCATTCATCGTTTTAGAGAATAGTTACATTAAAACATTGTGTGTGTTATTTTCTGAGATATATACATTTGATTTTTAAGGGTTTATTTTTAAAATACTGAACTCTTAAAAAGTTAGGGTCTTAAAAAAAATAACCCACCACCAAAACTCTTGAAAAAATCAAGTATTGCCTCTTGGCATTTTTTCTAACTCTCCCTCCCTCCCTTTTTTTTTTTTCTTAACCTAATTACCACTTTTTTAGTATGCTTGAATTATTTTGGTTACCTCTGGAGAGCATGTCCGTAAGTTTACACTTTTCTAATATTTTTCTCTTCATAGAAAAATACTACCTTTTATGAACAAATGCCAGAAGTTAACCTCTAATCATCCTAACCTTTTCTCTTAAGGTACGTAGAGAATACCGGAAATTCTTCCGAGCCAACGCTGGCAAGAAAATTTATGAGTTTACACTTCAGAGAATCGTAAGTTCAGACCATTTGTACTTTTTTATGTCTTATTAAAACTTTCGTGTAAATGATAAACAATATTAACAGTAAAATAAGACAATTACAGGTTTGTTTCGAGGAGCATAAAGTATATTAGTTCCAAGTTGAGTTATAATAGTTTTTAATGATATTCTTTTGGCCAGACTATAGTACAATTAGATAGATTAAAGAATGGCTAAATGAGGAGTCATTAATAATTTGATGTTATCCAAGAAGAAGGTCTCTAATGGAGTGCCTCACAGATACGTTCTTGCTCTGTTTAATACTTTGAATAATAACTTGGGAGAAAGGCTCTAGTGGTTTGCTTATCAAATTTATAGGTCACAAAAAGCTGTGGGAGATAAGTAACATTGGATGTCAGTCAGAATTCAGATCTTAGGCTGAAATGTTAGTTTGAACTTGATCTAGTGAAATTAATTCAGAATAGATAAATCTAAAGTTTTACATTTGAATTTTTAAAAAATCAACTTCCCAGGTGCAAAATGGGCAGGGCGGGGTGAGGCGTGCTGCTCGATAGCAGCAATTCATCTGACAAAGGTTTAAAAGTTTTGTTGAAATGCAAGCTCAGTGTGTGGACTACGTGGTGATGCAGTGGATAGAGACTGGACTTGGAGTGAAAAAGACCTGAGTTCAGATCCCTCATCAGGCACTTAATAGATCTGTGACCCTTGGCAAGTCACCTATCCTCTCTCTGCCTCATTTTCCTCAACTGTAAAATGGGGATAACAATAGCATCTACCCCACGTGGTTGTTGTGAGGATCAGATTACATAACAATTACAAGTTTTTAGCACAATTCCGTGCCACATAGTAGGTGCTGTATAAAAATGCATATTCCCTTCTTTCAGTGTGTCTGCAGTTTGATATGGTAGGGAAAAAAGCTAGTCATGCTTTTGAGTTCATTAAGAAGCATAGTCTGTAAGACTGGGAAGTGGTAGTTCTGCTGGGCTTTATCCTGGTCAGTTAGTTAGCAATTTAGGGAAGTCCTTGACAATGCCCAGAAGAGGGCAAGCTGGGATGGTGAAAGGCCTTGAGATCATGGCCCATGAGAGTCAGTTGAAGGAATTGGGGATATTAGGCTCAAGAAGCAAAGGCTTGGCATAGGATAGGGGACACCATAGCTACCTTCAGGTGTTTGAAGGGCTGTCCTCATGGAAGACCCATTATGTTTTCTCTGCTTGGCCCCAGATGTTTGAACTGTGAGAAATGGAGGAAAGTTGCACGGAGGTGTCTTGATGCAAGGATATGTTTCCTAATAATTAGAACTATCCAAAAGTGGAATAAGTTCTGTTTTAAGTTAGTAGGTTCTTTCATAGTTGAGGTCTGTAAGCGAAGGCTAAGATGGCCCCGTGGTGGAGTCTATTGTAGAAGCATTTTTATTTTTCCAGATACAGATTGGACCAGGTGGTCCCTCAGGTCATTCACCTCAAGCTCTGAGGGTGCTGTTTGCCTGAAGAAGCACCGAGAGAATTGTGTAAATGCTCAACTTGTGAATCTGCAGGAGAAACTTCTAGTAGCAGAATTTAAATTGTAATGGGCAGAGGTAGGACGTTATTTGCTGATTTAAAGTCTTACAAGGGCCTTCTGTGGTCTGAATACCAGCCTACCAAGATTATGGAGTGACTTACCACGAGAAGATTAGCCACTCCACGATGAATTCTTTGGCCATGATCACCCTCTTCAGTCACACAGCTGACTAAAAGATGCAGATAATGAGCTGCAGCTGTGTTTATCACTGGTAGATTCCAAAAAAGCATTTGACCGGATAAGACAAAAATGCAGCCTTAACGGCTCTGTTCCAATATGGGGTGTCCCACGTAAATGTTAAGATCGTTAGTAGATGCAGGGACAGAGATAATGTTGTTCAGCCATCCTCTCATCATCAATATGAAAGGACAGATAATCACCCAAAGTGTTCACCCCTGTCGTGGAAAGTCTCTGCCACAGTGCAAGTGGAGCCGAGGTTCCCTTGTGTCCTAGATCCCTGTGGGAGCCTGGGGTCCACAGATCCCTTTGCAGAATAATGTCTTGAAAAATCATAAAATATACCAAGTTTGTGGACCTCTGCTATAAAGACAATGATCTTGGGTACTTGACTCACCAATACAGATTTTAACTCATATGTACTTTCTCTTCCTAAAACATAAAAATAAAATATGTATGAAAATATATTAAAAGATAAAACATATTTCTAGTCTTCTTACACTCCTCCTCATCCTTCACTGCGCAGTCTAGTTAGATTGGCCTACTTACAGTTCCTCACACACAACACTCCCATCTCTTTTTTCTGTCTTGGCCATCCCCCGTACCTGGAACAATCTCCCGCCTCACCTGAGTCCTGGCTTTCTCAGACTCCTTTCAAATCCTATCCTCTGTGGGAAGATTTCCCTAGTCCCTCCACTAGCTGGTGCCTTTTCCTCCGAGTATATCTTCTGTCTACTCTTTATATATCTTGTACTCCCCCAGTTATTTACATGTTTTCTCCCCTGTTAGACTGTAAGCTCCCTCCTCTGACTCAGGGGCATGTTTTTGCCTTTCTTTGTATTGCCAGCTCTTGGCGCAGTACCCGGAACATAGTAAGGACGTAGCTGCTTGTTGACTGACCAACTGACTAGACTTCAATAATACAAAGACAAAAAGTGAGATAATCCCTGTATGTTATATCAGAGACATGCATATGTATAAATATTTACAGAATAGATAGAAAACAAACTAGCCTTAGCCAACAGAACTTAATGCGCTAAAGGTAGAGGGTTGGAAGACAAAGGTAAGGATGTGATGAGAGAAGCAAGTGAAAAAGAGGGGTCTGTGTGGTTATACAGAAGGGTCAAGGGGAAGGGAAAGGAATAAAACTTTATACATCACCTATGTGCCAGGCACTGTGTTAATTGAGCACTTTCCAAATATATCATTTGAGTCTCACAACCATCCTGCAGGATGGGTGCTGTTATTATCCTTATTTTACGGTTGGGGAAACTGAGGCAAACAGTAACGTGCTTTGTGCAAAGTCATATAACCAGCGAGTGTCTGAGGCTGGATTTGTACTCGGGTCTTCCTGACTACAGGGTCCAATGCTGTTATCAGTGCATCATCAAGAAGTAGCCTGGACTCCTTTCCTTTCCCTAATGTTCCTTAACCAATTGGTAAAGGATGCTTAAAACACCTATTTAGTAAAGTTTAAAAGAGGACTTAAAGAATTTCAGTCAGAAGGTAAGCAAACAAAATATAAGCTACTATATCAAGATTTGGCTGTGTTTTATATGTGGAACTATGCATTTTCTCGGTTAATGCAAAAGATCTAATTTCTCATCTTAAATCCAATGCAGGTGCAAAAATACTTCTTGGAAATGAAAAATAAGATGCCTTCCTTATCCCCGATAGACAAAAATTGGCCAGCAAGACCTTACCTCTTCTTGGATTCTACTCACAAGGAACTAAAAAGGATTTTCCATTTGTGGAGGGTAGGGTACCATATGCTGCCACTTTGAGAGAATTTGACTTTCTGTTGAGTTTTTATTAAAAGCATGTTTGTAAGAAATCTTCCTTCCAGAATTGCAGAGAAAGGTCCCAGGACTTAGGCTACTGTTTTCCTTTTGTTCTTTATATTTGACTTGCTATGATAACTTACCCCTCACTCCTAACCCTGGTGTTTTCTCTCTGAGAATTTCTCCCATTTACCCTGTATATGTCTTGTATGTACATACTTATTTACATGTAGTCTCCCCTTTACATTTACCTTTCAAGCCCAAGGTTATATAAAAATAGGCATTTTGGATTAACTTTCTAACTGTTAGACTGTGAGCTTCTTGAGGGCAAGGACAGTGCTTGCAGTTTTCTGTGTATCCCCAGCACTTAGCACAGTGCCTATTGTGCAGAAGCATTTAATACTGGATAGCTACCCTGGAGCCATATAGTCCAGCTGATGGTAAGAATAGGTTTTGTAAGGGCTTTGCTGCTTGTTAATTAGAAATGCCTTCCCCTCCCCTAGGTGGGTTGGGGTGGTTTCAGTTTAATTGTCTTCATGCCTGTTAATATTCTGCACAACTGGAAAAATTGGATGAAGCATTTGAATTCATTCATGTTTGTCTTAGATGTTATCATGGAGATGGTGAAAATCTACCCAGTGCTAACATGAGAGTTACTTTTTCTTTTCTCTGCCTTTTAAAGCTTCCTATGCAATCCCTCATAATTAAGTTAACTCTTAAAATTTCTTTCTCTAAGGAATTAAGGTTATTGGTAGTAAATGGAGTGTTTTGAAGTCAAGAATATGGATTCCATTTCTACTTCTAATTTGTGATGTATGTGACTGTAGGCAAGTGCCCCAGGCACCTCTCTCAGGAGATAGGATTGGTAGGAGAAGTATTGGTGTAGTCATCTTCCATACTGGAGCTTCCTCCCACCAATGAGGTCATAGATACTGAACCTCTTCCCACTTCTCCTCCCTGCCCAACCCATTCCATACATACAACCCAGAGTCTAGAAACTGATCAGTCCTGTCCACATTCCTATGGCATGAGGAAATGCATGCATTAGAAAATTTTTTACACATTCACTATAACCTGCCCTTTTTTATTTCTAGCTATTTTTAGCTAAGAAATTGGATTCTACATTATAGATGGAGCATCTCTGTTCCACTTGCTTTCAGTGAATGCAATTGTTCAAAGAATATGCCTGGGGAAAGGAATGATATGGGCCTCAAAGCCATCGAAATAGAGCATATTCAGACCATGGAGGGCCATTGGCATAAAAGACACATTTAAGATTTTCAGATTGTATAAGTCACATCTTAGGATTTATAAACCTCTGCCGTAGAAAGGCAACTAGACTTTGAAGTCCCTCGCATTTGTGTAAATTTCCTCCTAGTGGAGGAAGTTAATCCCAAAAGCCTATTTTTATATAATCTTGTGCTTGGAAGGCAAATGTAAAGCTGGCAGGGATCTCAGATGCTATCTGGTCTCCCCCCCTCATTTTGTAGATAAGAAAACTGACTCTTGCCCAAATTACTCACACAGATTGGAAATAGCAGTCTAAGATTTTAATCTGTGCCTGCTAACTCCAAACCTAGGGCTCTTTCCACATTACCTTCTTTCAAATCTGCACTTTATCTGATGACATGATGTGGAACTGAAGTGTTTCGTGTAAGAAAGGTCCACTAAGGTAAAGTGAGATAAGGGGAGTGAATAAAAAGGAACCTGGAATGTGTGTTTGAAGAAGCCTTTAGTCAACACGTGTGAGAAATACATAATCTGCTGCATTTATACAAGAATGTTATTGTTGAGTCATTTCAATCATTTGTGACCCCATTTGGGGTTTTCTTGGCAAAGATACTGGAAGGTTTGCCATTTCCTTCTCCAGTTTAGTTGACAGATGAGGAAACCGAGGCAAACAGGGTTAAGTGACTTGCCCAGGGTCACACAGCTGGTAAGTGTCTGAGGCCTGACGAACTCATGAAGATGAGTCTTCCAAATTCTGAGCTCAGCGCTCTATCCGTTGTGCCATGCGTTCTCTGTATATAGCTAGCTGTTGAATTTTCAGTGTGAGCACTTACACCTCAGAAATTGGCAAAAGCTACAAATTAGGAGCTTGATTTATTGTTTTGTTGATTGTCTAGACTTAAGAAAGTGATGGAGAAAATGTTAGTAATGCAGATTAACCTTAAAACTGTTATTCAGTTTTGTTTTGTTTTGTTTTGTTTTGTTGTTGGTTTGTTTTTTTCAGAGAACTGATTTGTTAAACATTTACTGACATCTCCCTGCCTTGGGTAAATCAATTAAACTGTGAGGCCTCAGTTTATTTATCTGTAAAAGCAGTGTCACGCTAGCTAATCTTGATGGTCCCTTCATATCCTACACTTGTGTCACGTCCTGTTAGGATCAAAATGTTAGAGATCATCAGGTCCAATTCCTCTCATTTTACAGATGAGGAAACTGAGGCACTAGGAGTTTAAGGGACTTGGTCAGGATCACACAGATGGTGTATGTCTTACTTGAGATTGGATCTCAGGTCTTCTTGGGTTGTTGTGACTGAAACGTTTTGTAAATTGTAAATTCCTATATGTGAATTATTATTATTAGTGCAGTGATAGTAACTCAATAGATAGGATTACAACAGCACGTAAAAAAAAAAAATCTCTTCCTAGCTCTACCCCTTTCTCCATATGTGAACTTAGCAAGAGCCATCAACCTAACGTTAGTCTCTTTCTTTATGAATGGCATGATGGCATCTGTGTCACAGGTATAATTTAAAATGTAAGAAGACTTCTGTATGCATTTCCATAGCTCTTGGGTCCGCAGGGCTCCTAGTACAGCTCCTAACCATGTCCAATGTCTGCATGCAGCATCAATCCCACGTTATTGATGAAAGGTGAGAGAAAGGTGATGACAGGAGTGAACTGAGCCTGAAAGTGGGGAAATGGTGCTCCTAGAACCATGCCTAGAGAGAGGACTATATCTATAGTGCAGAAAAGAACTACGTTATTTTGATGGGGGGAAATAATTACATTTTATTACTTTTTTTTCCACCCACGAAGAATTTTTGGGGTGGAAAGGGGAAGGCAATGTCTCTGATTTCTTCTGTATAGGGAACTCCCTATAGCAATGTGCATTTAGAGTGCCTCTTATGTGTCAAGATAAGGGATCAGCCAGGTGGCACAGTGGAGAGAGCACTGGACCTGGTATCAGGAAGACTCATCTTTCTGAGTTCAAATCTGGCCGTAGACACTTAGTAGTTATGTGATCCTGTGCAAGTCACTTAACCTTGTTTGCCTCAGTTTCTTCATCTGTCAAATGAAATAGAAAAAGAAACGGTAAACCACTCCAGTATCTTTGCCAAGAAAACCCCAAATGGGGTCACGAAGAGTGGGATACAACTGAAATGACTGAACAACAAAGAAAACTTCCTCTACCAATGCAAATTTGCAACTGTTGGGCAACTTACAGCTTTAGAAAAAGATCTGAGATCTTCCTGACTCCAACAAGGCTGACTGCTGTTCTTCATGGTTCCTACAACTCTTGGATGACTTATAATTTTAGAGAATGACTTGAGATCTTCCTGATTCTGAGGCCAAGCCTCTATTCACTAGAGCACTGTGCCTGTCACCATTGCTGTATTGGTCTTAAAAGCAAAACTTCATTGTGTTGTTTATCTCTATAGTTGTTGTTGTTCAGATTACTTACCATGCCATTTAAATGTGATTGATAATCCAGCAAGAAAACATCATGTTTGGTTTTCTCTTTCATGTGATACCGTGCAGTGTAAAAAATACAGAGACCAATTCACAGATCAACAGAAGCTTATCTATGAAGAGAAACTGGAAGCCAGTGAACTCTTCAAAGACAAGAAGGCCTTATACCCATCTAGGTACTGTAGTTTCAATTTTACTCACAGAAATAATTAATTTAAAAGTTTTGACAAATAGATGTGGAGGCAATAATTCCAGGGGTATTTTAGTTCTGTGGCAAATAATTATTTCCTTATGTCATGAATTATTTGTTAACCATAAAAAGAAGACTATTTGTTACATACATATGTGTGCATATATGTCAGTACTTTAGTGAAATGGTACAGAATGTATCATTGGTAATGTGCTCAACACTTTATGAAATAATTGGGTAGGACCCATCTTTTAACACTCCTAATTATTATGAGCTATTCAGTATCAAGATTGAATATTTTGCATTGGATTATGAGGCACTCTCCATAATTCCCAGGGAATAAATAAAATTTCTGTTGGCTGTTTTACAGTAATTATTGTTCAAATTGTCTCGCCTTAAAATATCTATGAAATTGGTCAGAATTGCACTTACATGATGAAATTAGAAGAGTGAATCAATTTGGAGCTTTTTGAGAGTTGCTGAGCCCCCATAAATGGTGCCCTTTAGCTCTGCTAACTCATTGTGCATTACTTAATTGATGTGCAGCTAGCTGATTCCCCATGTAATAGGCCTACCGCTCTCATAAATAAGGAACAGATTGCTAATTGCAGGTGCAAAGAGAGAAGCCATTCTTAGACTATTAGATGCCTTGCCCTACTTTTCTAACCATGTCTCATAATGGTCATTTTTCTTCTGCATAATATACTTTTTCACTTAGTGGTTGCAAAAAAAGTACCTTGTAAAGTCTTAAATATGTTTTATGGCAATTTTATCATCCTCTCCAAAAAGAGCACCTAAAAATGAAAATATACTGCTCTTCATTTTGTGGAGGTCTGCATGGAGAGAATTACACAGATCAGTTGGCTTGAAATATTATTCTTCTTCCAGCACTTTCCATAAGTTATCAGACACATTCTTCTAGAACAATAAAGATGGCAAAAATAATGATGAAGAATAGCTGGATTGTAACTTAAATCATGACTTAAATTGGAAATTGGGTATTTGTCCTTTTTTTGGAAACTAATTTTTTTGTTAACATGCTTTGGAAATTGATAATGAATTTTTTGTTGAAGTTTTCCTGAAGGTGGTTATTTAGAAACAAATAGTGCTAAGAATACTAATTAGTAGAATTTATGGAGCATTTTGATTAATTCAGTTTGGGGTTTAACTTTTGAATTGCCAAAATGACAATAACAAGAACCTACTTGGTCATACTTGGTCATTTGGTTGTTGGTAAGTTTGTGGGTCTATAGTACTGACAAGAATCGAATGGCTGTTCTGTGTCCTAAAACTTTTTATGGCATTGCTCGTCTTGGGGAACTGAGTGTTTCATGGCCTCCGATAGAGAATTTTCTTCCTCAGTCTCCCATCCAGTTCTCATGGAGAATTTTGTTTGCAATTATGAGAACTCGTCAGCTCGGATCGAGGCTTTCCGTGCCCTGCCGGTAGCTGTGGGCCCTTGGTTTTTATAAAGATGCTCATGTTTGAGGGTCAGTGGAACAGTGGAAAGGGGAGGGAGACAATCAAAAGATCTCCTTCTGGGTAGAGTTCAAATTCTGCCTTTGGGCTTTACTATTTGTCTCACTGGACAAGTTATTTAACCTTCCTGGGCCTCAGTTTCCTTCTCTGTAGAATGAGACAGTTGGCCTAGATAGCCTCTGAGGTTCTGACTCTGAATCTATAATTTTATCAATTATAAATGATTTTACTTTGTCAGAATTTGCTGAGAGTTATTTGTTGTTAGAATTCACGTGTTAGGTAAAGTAAAAACTCTGAAATTTTGCTTCTGGCAGCTTGTGTCTCTGTTTTGTTCTGTGAAAGTAGCTAAATGTGTCCCAGGAGGATAGAATTGCAGTTTTCTTGTGTATTTCCTATTCAGAGCCTTATTTAAAAGATCTAGAGTGAGGAAAGGCATGTCATTTTCTTTCATATTAGTTGTTCTGCATGGAGTTACTCTAACAAATATTTTACTCCTATGCCCAGAAACACCTATTGATTTCCCTTCTTCTTAGAGACTGAAAATTAAATTTTTCATTGTCTCAGGTGGTGGTAATTATCTGTACCCTTTCTTCCATCACTGCACATTGTGAAAAGCTGCTAATAAATGCTTGGGGGACAGCTGCAGTTAAGGCTTTCATTTGAGCAGACGACAAGGACCGACTCTTTATTTCATGCAGTGTCATGCACCTATTCTGTAATGTTCCTCAGTTGAGTGCCTCATGAGGTGTAGGGGTAAAGAAACTGATATTGCCAGCAAATGCTATGGCAACATGAAAAAATAGATGTGAGTAGAAGTAATATGCATTTCTAGCAGGGATTGAGGACCAGGTGCAAGTGATAAAACACTGTAATATATGAAAATTTGAATGTCTGCATTTTTATGAAGGTGGCACACTCTTCCTATAGGAGTATTAGGTTTCAATTCCATATTGAACCTGCCCGTTTGCTCACAGTGTGACGTCCGTTTAAAACCATTAAAATATTTTGTTTCCTTCTTTTATTGTTGTAGTGTTGGCCAGCCATTCCAAGGGGCTTACCTGGAGATCAGTAAGGACCCCAAGTATAAGAAACTCAAAGATGCCATTGAAGAAAAAATCATCATTGCTGAAGTCGTGAACAAAGTTAACCGAGCTAATGGGAAGGTAAAAATACCAATAGTGAAGATTTACCTAAAAATGTGAATTAAGCAGAATACTTTTCCCTGGTTTCCCAGATATTAATGAATGATTTAAATTTCTGCTTGGGCTTTCATCAGGGTCACTGTGAACGATGCTACAGTATGATATAGGGGAGAGGGCTCTGGGATTTGGAACCAGTATAATTTGGGGGAAGCCCTTCCCTTCTCTATCCTCCTCTTCTTCATCAGAGTTACAATAGAACAGTTGGAACTCAGACTCTTATTTTATTTACACCCTAGCATTATTCTTTGCCAGGAGGAATCATGGCCCAATTCACAAGAGTTGGGAGATTCGTTTGTGACATACCTAGCCAAAACTTACCATCCCTCTGGTTAACACCAGCACATTATCCTTTGAGAGCCACAGATATCATGGTCTTTAATGTCCCTTCTAACTCTGAATTCTATGACTTTATTTTTCCTGGTGACATTAGATTGGATGATGTGATAGAGCCAAGAAAATTTTGACACAAGATAGAATTTTAAAGCTTTAAGAAACCTTAGAGTTCATTTCGTGTAATTCCTTCTTTTTCTACAAGTGAGAAAACTGAGTCCTAGGGAATTGAAGTCAGTTGCCCAAGCTAGTTAGTGGTAGAGATGAGGCTACCACCCAGTTCTCTGATTCTGCATTCATTGGTTTTTCCAGTACATCACGTTGCCTCTCATTCAATGCAGCATGTTCGCTAGATTTACACATCTGTAGGCAAAGTAATATATTATGGAATCAAATTATGTTCTGGAAATAACTGTTGCTTATGGTTTTTAATAGGTAGGTAGTTGTTGCCAACCTGTTACTATTACAAATCCTTTACTATTTACATCTTGGTCTTTCATTTTGCCTTTTTTTTTTCCCTTTAGTGTGCATCTAGGATTTTCCTTCTAACAAATAATAATCTGCTTCTTGCTGATCAAAAGTCTGGACATATTAAATCAGAAGTCCCTCTGGGTGATGTTACAAAAGTGTCCATGAGCTCACAAAATGATGGTTTCTTTGCTGTTCACCTAAAAGAGGTAAGTTTTAAGTAGGTTTTCTGCTATTAAGCTGGTTGTTTAAAAGTAGGAAGGTCTGACTTCCATATGTGGTTCATTGTATAATTTGAGGTTTATGCTGAATTTAGCCATTATCAAGTTACTCATTTGAAGTGAATGGAAACCAGCTTGTACAGCTCAGATGTGGACTTTTCTGGTCATTTAGTGACTACTCAACTTTACTCATGTTTGATTATATGTTCACTTAACTGTTCCTTCATTGAATAATTTTTTCTTATATGTCTATGTACAATTAGTGGATAGAAGTAGTGAGTACACATACACATAAATACACATCTTTTTCTTCCTTGGCAACATGCAGTTAGCAAATGTTGAACATGGGAAGAAGGCAGTGCCAAAGAGAGAAAGCCTTGCCATGGTCACAGTTTTTCAGGCACACTGTGTTTTGAGCCATATGACTGACTAGTACTTCTTCTCCTGGACCTTTAAGAACACGAATTCAGGAACTAGTTAACGACACTGAATGTTATCCCATGTAATCTTGCCTCATAATTCTTTCTGCCCCAGCCTCCCCCTTTTGCAAATGTAATGATTACTTCTGAGTTCTTTGGAAGGCAGTTAGGAGAATGCCAGGTAAACTCATTATAGAACTTTGAACAACTTGGAAGAAATGCTGTTTTTGTAAATATAAGAGTGTCTGAGGCCTGAGTCTGTTCCAAATTAAAAAAACAGTTCCTAAGCGCCTGTTGTTCAGTTGTTTCAGTTGTGTCTGACTCTTCATAACTCCATTTTGAAGTTTTTGTGGCTAAGATACTGAAGTGGTTTGCCATTTCCTTCTCCAGCTCATTTGACAAATGAGGAAATTGAGGTAAACAGGGTTAAGTGGCTTGCATAGGATCGTACAGTTAGTAAGTGTCTGAGGCTGGATTTAAACTCTGGTCTCCCTGACTTCAAGCCCAGAGCTCTATCCAACCATGCCACCTAGCTGCCCAACCACCTGTTACAAAATGACTATTGCCATCTAGGTGTCAGCATTCTGTGACTTTTATCTTTTAAGTCAGGGGTTCTTACCCTGGGTGCCACAGACACCTCCAAATTATAAGGAATCCATGAACTTGGATAGAGAAAAAAATTACATCTTTATTTCACTATAATTGGTTTCCTTTGTAATCCCATATATTATATTTTATGTATTTTAAAACATTATTCTGAGAAAGGAATCCATAAGCTTCACCAGAGTGCCAAAGGGATCCATGACACAAAAGTGATTAAGAAATCCTTTTGCTAGGTGCAGTGTCTTTATTGTTTATCCAGTAAACGATAATGACAGTGACTCAACTTAAAGAAACTCTCTGTCCCTTTCAACTAGGTGGTTCATTGGTTAGTGTTCTTGGCCTGGAATCAGGAAGACTTGAGTGGAAATCTAGCCACAAACACTTGATAGAACTGTGTGGCCCTGGGCAAGTCATTTCACCTCTATTTACCTTAGTGGCCTCATCTGTAAGATGAGGTAATAATAGCTCCTACCTCCCAGAGTTATTGTGAGGATCAAATCAGAAAACTATTGTAAAGTACTTAGCACAGTGCCTGGCACATAGTAAGTATTATATAAATGTTAGTTGTTGTTATTGTTGTTTCTGTTATTATTATTATGGCATATTCTTTGTCATTAATGTTCTTTCCTGACTCTCATGGTAATTTTTGTTAACTTTTGTTCAAATCTGAAGTTACCCAGATACCCTTACACTCAACCTCTTCACATCTCTTTGGCAGCTTCCTCTAATTATGCCTTTTTTAAAAACTCTCGTTCACTCTCTCTCAGGGCTCAGGAGCAGCTAGTAAAGGGGATTTTCTCTTCAGCAGTGACCACCTGATTGAAATGGCCACCAAGCTCTATCGGACCACGCTAAGCCAAACCAAGCAGAAACTCAACATTGAAATTTCAGATGAGTATGTTTGTTTTTCTCTTGGTAGATGATTTTCCTTTGTTTCTTTTGTCTTAGTTAAGACTTCCAAACTACATCCTTTTTTCCAAAAAAAATTTTTTTATTTACAGTTTTAATTTTTGTGTTGCCCTGAACACTTAACCTCTCAGTGCCACCAGGTTATTCTCTAGGACTGTTAGTTGTAGAAAAGATGCCAACTTGCCTGGGTAGGGGAGTTTTCCTCATTGAGGAATTCATTATGCTAATGAAATAACAGGTGCCATTCCCTATTTTAACTTTTACTTGATTCAGCAAGTGGTTTGTTGTGCATACGTTTGTGCATGGACACAGGTGCACTGTACATACTCTTCCCAGCAGCAATTAAATCTAAATTAACTGCAGGGCTCAAGGTTTAATAAGTTCTGGTTAATTTATTTTTTCAGCTTAGCTAAGGGCTGACCAGAGAACCCTTTGTGTTTCAGCCTTTGCTGGAAGTCTTACTAAAGTAATGTCTTTCTCTTTCCTGCCCTTAGGACATAAAGCATAGGGACTTGATTTAATATTTTTTCGTTGAGAATCTCCATCTTTAATGTGTTTTCTCATTGCACTGTACTGGAGCTGGTGTAGACCAGGAGATGAATGTGTAGTTTGCCTTACTTGCCTCCTCTCCTTACCAAGAAGAGAGAGGGCTGGAAGGAGGAGACTCTGGCTGCTTCATTAACATCCAATTGAGCTTTCTGCATAGATTCTAGGTGTATTTAGAACAACGACCATTTCTTCTAATATTGTCAGACACTGCTAGAAGGTGTACTAGATACATTGTTGGACTTAGGAGTCAGATATACCTGAGTTTATATCCTGCCTCAGCACTAGTTGTTTTGACCCTGGGCAAATCAGTTTAGTCTTTTCGACCTCCACGTCTTTATCTGCAAAATGGGATTGTGCGAGGATTGGAAGATGATGGATGTAAAATGCATTGCAAATCTTAAAGCACTATGTTCATCATCTTTTTGTATCACTCGTTCCCCTGAGAGCTGAGTACGATATTCTGTACAACATGAACATCTATCAAATGTGAAAGAAAATTAAAATCAGAGGAAGGTATAGATCAGTCCATGTCACCTCAGAGTCTAGAATAAGATGCATATTGTCATCATTAGTAATAATAGTAATAATAATAAGGTACTTAAGCTTCTTCAAAGTACTTTATATGTATCATTTCCAATAAATACAGTAGTTGTTAGTGGATGGAATCCCTATTCCTACTAGCTACCCTAATTCAGGCCCTCATTTTTTCTTGCATTGGACTATTATAGTGGTCTGTAACTTGGTCTGTCTCTAGTTTTTCTCTTTACTAATTCCTCACATTGTTGCCAAAAGAACTGTTTTAATACAAAGTTCTATTTGTGGAGCCCTTCTACTAAAATTTTTTCAGTGGCCACTGATTGCTTATAGTATAAAATATAGCACCTTTTTTTGAATGTCCTGGTGTATCACTTGCACATAGGATCAAATGCAACAATAAAGAAAAAGCTCTTTGCACACTTTAAATATTTGTATTTTCAAGTCCTCAAAAAAAACAAACAAACCAATTTTTGAATTGTTTTTTCCTTGAGGAAACATTTCATAGAAAGGAAAGAGCAGTGTGAAGATCCTCATGTTTCTCCTGGGCCTTTTTTTTTTTTTTTTTTTTTAAGGCAATTGGGGTTAAGTGACTTGCCCAGGGTCACTCAGCTAGTAAGTATCAAGTGTTTGGTCTGAGGCCGGATTTGAACTCAGGTCCTCCTGACTTCAGGTCCGGTGCTCTATTCACTGCACCACCTAGCTGCCCCGTCCTGGGCCTTTCTGAAGGCCACCTGACTCTGTGGCCTTATGCTGCAGATTTAGCAGATCCATCCAGAAGGTGTTTCAGATTTAAGCAAAAATTTGCCAGGAAGCCACTGACGGGACAAGTATCCCAGCACAGCACTGTGTTTTTCAGTCTCAAGTGGATTCATTTCCACTTTGTCATTTGTTTTGTAGACAGACACTCTTAGGGTTTGGACTCAGTATCTTTTTTGGAAGTAGAAGCAGCTATTTCCAACACCACTCATTTCTGTAACCATTATTGAGCAATGGATTTGGCAAATTACAGGGAGAATGGCATAAGGCGAGTCCACCTCTTATTACACTGTTGTCGTCTCTATAAGTAGACATCGGATGAGACAAGGGAAGGCTACAGATAGTTAGAGCAGGCAGACAGCCAACTGCCACCGCTACCTGAATTTCTCTGTAGCTATAGAATTGACATATATAGAACATTTCTTTTCCATCTAATCTGTGGAGTATATAGTGGTACTCAGAATGAGTTTATTGTAAGCCCCAAGTATTTTAAGTGATTTTAAGGATTCATGAATTTTGCATGGAAATCTACATTTTTGTAAATATCACTAATTCAAACAACAATGGGTCTGTATATATTTTATTGTTGTTCAGTCGTTTCAGCTGTTTATGATTCTCTATGACCCTATTTGGGGTTTTCATAGCAAAGGTACTTGAATAGTTTGCCATTTCTTTCACTAGTTCATTTTACAGACGAGGAAACTGAGTCAGACAGTTAAATGGCTTGCCTGGGGTCACACAGCCAGGAAATGTCTGAGGCTGGATTTGAACTCAGGAAGATGAGTCTTTCTGGTTCCCAGCAGAGTGCTCTATCTACTGTACCACCTAGCAGCCACATATATAAACATACATACATATATATTTTTTTTTACTGGAAACATACAATTCATAGCATTGATCTGCTGAGAGAACCTTTTGGAGTGGTACATGGAGGACTCCATAGATTGAATATTTCCTGATATATCCTTATCGTCCTGCCAGAATTCAAACACTCTTCTTAAGGGGTCTTATGCTAAAAGCACATTGGGAAAAAGCAGTTGCCATCCATGTATTTCATAGAACCTCAGAGCTGGAAAGAGATCTTGATGTTCATTTCAGTCCAACCCACCTAGACGTAAGCACAAATTTCCCTGAAAGTATTCCTTAAAAATGAAAATGTATTGATGTCTGTGATGCCAATTAACTGCTTTCAGTATTTTAATTGAACTTTAAAAGACTGTTCACCCACCCCCACCCCACCCCACCCCTTTCAGGAAGAGTAGTACAGAATTATGTGTGAGAATAAAACACTTCCTTCTTACACTCTTGGCTTTAAAAAAAACTCCAACCCATTCAAAGCCACAGGAAGTGGTGTATTTTTAAATTAAGGCTCAGCCAAAGCCTCGCATATCAAATTTCATCCTAGTATGTAATGTCTGAAAAAATTGAGTCGTCCAGCCTTTGAAACTGAGACTTAGCTTAAAAATATCAGAACTGTTTACATCTTATTTGTTGCTATGGATTTCTTAGTGGATGTGTCAATTTACTTTCTATATACTTATACCAGTAACGTTTATACAACTGCTCCATAAGAAACACATAGGAGATACTATCAAATTTAACTCTGCCTTGTGCCTTTAGAAACTGTCTAGCATGGCATGCAGAGTGTAGGGCTTGGAGTCTGGAAGCGCTGGGTTTCAGATCCCGTTTGGGGCTCATTGTGATACAGTGGTAGGAATACATGATTTGGAATCAGAGGAGCTGGGTTCAAATCTCAGCTCCGTCACTTCTTAGTTCCAGATGACCCAAAACTATAGTCACCTTATCTTCTCTTGGCCTCATTTTCTTCATCAGTAAAATGAAAGGATCAAAATAGATGGCCTTGTATTTCCTTCTAGCTCTTAAATTTATGAGCCTCTAATACTTAGCTGTGCAACTCTCTGTGAGTCATAGAACCTTTATGTTACTCAAGCAACTTACTAGCACTTACCTGCTAAACAGAATCATAGTTGTTCAGTCATTTCAGTTGCATCTGATTTTTTGGGACCCCATTTGGGGTTTTTGTGGCAAAGAAACTGGTGTGGTTTGCCATTTCCTTCTCCAGCTCATTTGACAGATGAGGGAACTGAGGCAAACAGGGTTAAGTGACTTGCCCAGGGTCATACAGCTAATAAATGTCTGAGGCCAAATTTGAACTCATGTTTTCTTGACTCTAGGCCTGGCACTCTATCCACTGTACCACCTAACTGGCTCTTTATGTATTTGTGTATTATGCCTATGAATCAGTCACTAAACATTTGTAACGTGCCAACCTTCCCAATTTTCAATGAATTGCACCTGTGTGAAATTAAGAAAAAAAAACCCACAGAGAAAACACAATGTATTTTGTATGTTATATCATGATGAATAATCATCCCTAGACCTTCTGACCTCAGAAGGATGTCATATGTATGAAATAAGCTAACATGCATCATTTTCATTAAAGATAAAGCTGATGATAATGTCATATTATCAGTAGTACTGGTGGAGGACAGGGTGCTAATGACCTAAGAGAAATTATTCACTTTATCCAGGGTCGTTTAGCCAGGGTGTTTGTTTTTAAATCATTGTCTAGCATAATCTATGTTTTCTGCTTGCATGCTTTACTTACCAGTTTTCTTGTCTCTCCTAGGTTCCTGGTTCAATTCAGGCAGGACAAAGTGTGTGTGAAGTTTATACAGGGCAACCAAAAAAATGGCAGCGTCCCAACCTGCAAGCGAAAAAACAACCGTCTCCTCGAAGTGGCTGTACCTTAACTGCAGTCTCGCTCTTGGGTCTCTCATGGACTCTTTTTTTGTCATAGTGCAATTTTAGGGTTTTATTGGGGGCGGGGACTGGGGAGAGGCAGAGTTGTCCACTTGGGGATTGTCAGTGGCTAATAGTGTTAGAGATCCATGGCAAAATATTTTGACTAATCAACCTTTAAATCTTTTCTTACTGGAGTAGTTTTAACCCCAGAAATGCAAACTGTCCAGTGACAGGATTTTAGAAACTAACAATGCTTGTATTCTTATTTTAGTCATTCATCAGCTAGTACTACATTCTGTAAATTGACATGTGACTGATAAAATATTAATGTGTTAGCATAGAAACCTGACTTAAAAGGTAGATCAAGGTCCTACTGTGAAGGAGAATGAAACCTTACTTGGACTTTTTTCCCCTCAACACATTGCCTTCAGGCATTTTCACTAGTGCTAAGAGCTGGCTAACTCTTGGACTGGGAATGTTGAAAACAAAAATGGTAACTCTGTTCATAGTAAACAGCATTATTAAGAGCTGTGTAATCTGATCATTAATAGAACGTAGTACAAGAAGGACTATTTCCATGAGGCAGAAGGAATGTAAGACTGCAAAGAAAGTCCATGCATATGGTTTCTATTTGAAGAAGAAAATCTGGTGTTTAGAAAGGACTTTGGAATTTTATTCAGATTATTTGTAATGGCTTTAAGTTGTAGAAAGCGTCATATTCTTATTTTAAAAGAAGTGACAGTAGATTTCCTCTCATTTTCCAAAGCAGTGCAGTGAAAATATATTTTTCTCTGATGCATATTCCTTTGTTTTCAGTTAACATTAGATGAGTCTACATCATGCTAATGCCTGCAGAGTGCTATTATCACCAAATTTCAGGTAGCTATTTAAACAGTTAAGTGAAGGGTGAAAGCCTTTTCAGATATTGGCATATGTCCTTATGATGTGCAATAAAGCATTCAAGACCTTTTTTTTTTTTTTTGAAAGTTATTTATAATACACTTTTGTGTGTAAGAGAGGTGATTGGTACAGCTTGCATATTTTATGCATGGATTAAAGTGGGTTTGTGTTATTAATCTGTAGGATTTTGTTTTTCAAATTTACACTAAAGTTCTCAATTTGGAAACTATATTTGGAATCGAAGAGTTTCTTAATTTGGGGAGATGATGTATATAAATTGGTATTATGTTAAATAATAAAATTGTTCTAATTCGGTGCTTTTTGGTATTCCTATGTTATAATCATACTTTGTATTTCAAACTGTTTTCTCTGTTTTGTGCCTGATGTAATGTGTGCGCACAAAAAAAAAACCTTCACAAAGTTTACTTTATGTTTTCAGTGTAACTGATTTTTCACTTATCTTTATAAACCAGAAATGTTCATTGAAAATATTAGTTTTCTTTTTCATTTTTAAATGGAAAGAACTATTTACGTGAAGAGTTTCTTGAAGTCATTTTTACTTGTTGATGTATAGATAGGCATTTTTTCAATCTGATATATCAGAATTCTTTCAGTGATAGGTTAAGTGATGATCTCTGCATTATGGAGTAGAAATATAGGCATAAATGCACTTAAGCCCAAAATGACAGGAGAATTCAAGTTTTTCATTGGTTTACTTAAATTCAAAACTAACAACTAAATACCTCATTATTTTCAAGTCATTTCTTATATTATAAAAAAAAGGCTATCATTGCTACATATGTGTGTGTGATATACACATGCACACACAATCACACACACACACATATATATAGATTATATATATATATATACATTTTTTGCACAAACATCCTATGATAGAATCATTGAAATACTGTGTTCATCTCCTATAGATGAAATACTTAGTCTCAAACTCCTCGTGGAATGTTTTCGTATGACATTTTCTCACTAACTAGAAAAGTTTTCAGTAATGCTTTTTCTCCAGTAGAGATTTGTCCTTTGCTGCAGATATAGTAGAATGAAAGATTCTTATCAATAAAAGTTCACATAGTTTTGGGTCACTTTTTTAAAACTGTAGAATTCTCAGGATGATGATGTTTGACTTTACTGGGTTCAGCTTTCTCAGGAAAGCTTTCCTTTGGCTTTCCATCACTGTCTCCTTAGAGTTCTTTAGTCCAAGCTTGCAGGGGTATATACTGTCTTTAACATTGAGTAGGAGTTAAGATTGCCTTCTAGGGACTCTGATTGAAAAAGTCACAAATTTAGCAAGAAGATGGATACATCACACACACACATATACATATGTAATAGACATTTGAGTCCAATGTGAAATTGCCCTGAAGCAATCATTTTATAGTTTTCAGCATGTAAAAAGAATAAGAAGTTTGTGGCCTATCTTAAATTAAGGCTTGCCTGCCTCTTAAATTAGCCAGATCATCCCATTCCTGGAAGTGGTCCCCACATTGGGTTTACAAGATTGGAGAAGGAGCAGAGCTAGTCTACCAGAACTGCGAATAAAGAGGGAACCCAGCGTTCAGTTGGCCAACCCAGAAAGCTTTTTTTTTTTTTTAAAGACTGGAACTACTCTTCACATTATTAACCTCAACTGCTTGTTCAAGATAAGGCCCTAAAAATAGTTAACAGCTCTTGTGCTTATGGTGGCCAAGCATAGAGACTTATACCTACCTTTAGCCACAACCTGAGAGATATATTGCAATGAGCACACTCCATAACTTCTGTGGAATCTGCTCTGACCATGAGGAGGATCTCCCTGTGGAAAATCATTCTTTCCTAAGCCGCGGGACTTGACTCATTCAGTTGCTCAAAATCTATTTTAAAAGAGGTTTCCATTCCTGTGGAAAAAGGGAATAGGGGGATAGTTGAGAGTTAACAAAGTTTAGGTACCAGCAGCTACCTGCTGGGATTTACCATCACTGACCACGCACTGACATGTTCCATAAGACTAAGACAAAGAAAGACCCTTGGGAGTTTTGCTCTATGACTATTAGAACAGCATTCTGGAAAGCCGAGACCTGGCCTCATATGCCCAGGGGTATGAATTAACTCCAGTTTGAATTCTATACGTGTATGTAGAGTTTGGGCTGTTTGGCACCATGGCCAGACATGTCATTGAAATATTTGCTAGTAGTGAAGTAGATATTTAAAATTATTGTTATCATGAAATGCATATGCTGAGTTCCCATGTCATTCATACCATATATGAGAATTTTTTCACACCACATGCAATCTTTTGTTTTTAAATATGATGTGAGGTTATTTTAAGTTTTTTGAAATCTTTAATTGGGTAATATAGTACAGGGATAAATTATTAACTTTTATGAATGTATTTATTCCTTTATACCAAACTTAAACATGGTTTCATTTTAATAAGCAGTCTCATTACCTGAAATGGGGATTAATGGGATGGAGAGTGTAGAATAAAAAGAGCAGTGATTTTCCTGGAAAATTTCCTTACTCAAAGACTAAGTACAGTAAAATACAGGAAAGATGGAGGAAACTAACTAGGTTCTCCAGTTTTGTGACCTTTATGCTCCTCTTGCTAAGGAGTTCAAAACCAGGCCATTTGGGATGTCGGCAAATCTCTTTGGGGAGGTCAGTATCTTTGCATCTGCTGTGTGTTTGAGGGTCTGATATTGACCCATCATCATGTCTGGCTGTCTCATTCAGCAGAGAGGGTCCTGTAGCCAGACTTCAGCTATCATAGCTCATTAGGGTCTAGTTCATACACAAGTAGTATAGGACTTGGGGGGTTGTTTTAAAAATATACTTCTAAATGCTGTAATTTCCACTTATTTTATTTGGCATGGAGAGTATTTTCAAAATCTTACAAAAACCACCCCTTTTTTTTTTCCAAAAGTTTTCTGTTCTAGAATGATGATCCCAGGAGCTTGAGCTAAAAATCTTAATTTTGTAATCCAGGAAAGGTCCTGTCAGCTTCTAAGTGATCTTGATATTTGGGAGATGGATCCCTTCTCTTAAATCTAATCCCATCATTTTACACATTAGGAAATTAAGACTCAAGATGGTTAAAGACTTCCCCAGGGGTATATAACAAATGTCAGTACTGGGATTTGGCAGATCACCAGAACCAATACTCCTCCCTGTCTTTGTAAAAGAAAAAAAACAAAACAAAACAAAAATGGCAACCAAATAGGAAAACCACTTATCCTTTGCTTTCCTAAATTCATAGATTTAGAGCCAGAGGGGACCTTGGTGGTTGTCTATTCCCTCACTGGTAATAAATCTAATTTATTTTTGAAAAGTAAAATCAATAACCTTTATTTTCTCTTTCAAACTTAAGGAAAGGCCCAAAGTCACTGATGGTCAGGAGACCTGGGTTCAAATCCTGCTTCCCTCACTATGTGTGTGATTTGATACAAGTCACATAACCAACCACCCCAGACTTCAGTTTCTTCACTTATAGAGAAATGAAGAAATGAGAGGGGTTGAGCATTAATAGACCAGACCTGACTTTCCATGATTCAAATGAATGTGATATGTTCATGCAAGCCTAGTTTTTCATTGTAGTTTTACAGCTATGAGGATAGAATCAGGTCTTTTCTTTAATGTTAATAAAAATCACATGTTTTTGGAGTTAGTTTTTTTTTTCCTCAGGGGGCATTTTGGGGTGGGGTGTTCTTAATGGGATCATGCAAGGAAAATATTAGAAGAGTTTCCTGGGGAGAGTGGAGTTCTGTACTTGTTATGTGGCATTATGGTTCTCCATGGATTCTGTGGTTTCTAACCTCTCTATTACTAACAGTTCTCTCTCTCTTTTTTCCTATGTTGGCTCCCCAAAGTTCCTGGCTTGGAAGTGCTCATGAAATTTTATTTCTTTCTTAGGCAGATCTAAATTCGGTGAAACTTCACAAGCACTCAGATCAAATTCCCTTCCCTTTCCACCCCCTTTTTTTAGATCTGGTGCCTTTTCCTGGGACGTAACGAAATGGACATTTTGGGGAAGGTCAGATATGATAGAGGAACATGAAAAATTAACTCCTTGGCAGAGGATGTATCAAACCATAGGATCATCAGATCACAGATTTAGAATTGGGGCCTTGGGGGTACCAGCCATCCTTTACAAATAAGGAAACTGAGGTAATTGCTTTTATTTTGTGGTTTTACTGTCATTTGTCAGTGAAGCTAGATTGATGCTAAAAGTGAGATTCATGGCTACGTTCATTTTTCCTGAGGTAGCTGGTGGTACAGTGGATAAAGTCCTAGACCTGGCATTAAGAAGACCTGAGTTAAAATCTGACCTCAGGCATTTACTAGATATATGACCCTGAGCAAGTCACTTAACCTCTGTTTACCTCAGTTTCCTTAGCTGTAAAATGGAGATAATAATAGCACATTCCTCCCAGGGTTGTTGTGAGGATCAAATGAGGTATTTGTGAAGAGTGCTTAGCACAGTCCCTGGCAGGCACTAAATAAATGCTTATTACCTTCCCTTCCCCTCCTCCTCATTTTATTGAAAAATGTTCATCTTTCCAAATGTTTTCTGAGAAATTCAACAGTCAATGTCCCGCTGCTGTGTGTGTTACATGTAGGACATTGCTTTCTCCAAACCAGTCTGCAAGCTCAGCCTTTCTGATGTTGGGATTTAAATTAGCTGCCTACTACACACAAAGCCAAGATTAACTCCACTTAAAAAAAAAAAAAGAGTTGGCATAAAAGGCAAACGCATCATTTTCCAGAAGTGGAGATTTTCAAACATCATGGGGGGGGGAGGATGGGACATTTTTTCACTCCATTATTTTGGAGAAAAAATAACATTTGCCCAAAAAAGTCATGTTGTGATGCTAGTTAAATGAGAACTTCAGACACTTTTTTGCTGATATGTACAACACTGTGATATATGCTAGAGGTGATAAAAAAAAAAAAGGTCAGGTAAGACCCAGTCCTCATCTTCATTGGGCTTTCAGTCAGTTTATAATGGGATAGACAAAGTAACAAAAGCAAATACAGATAATGATAACATGTAAGTAGTTTTGAAAGGGACAAAAAATATTAGATGAGATCACATTATATATATGTATTTTGCAAAAGGTAAAATTCTTGCTATATAAATGTTAGCTATTAATATTCTTCTAGACTAAGAAAAAGCATTGAAATGGAGAAGTGGGGAATTCTTCCTGAAGGAGGTAAAATTTGAGTAGGGCTCTATAGTTGGTTGAACAAAAGGGAGGGAAGACTTCACAGTATGAAAAAAGCAAGGCAGCGTCTTTGGGAACAGGGTACTTTGGTTTGAAAAA